TATAGGTATAGCCTATATTTGAAGAGGCTATAGGCTAGGTAAAAGTTGTGCACATTTTGTGACCTACAATCAACACCTATTTACACGTTCTCTAGAAAATAAATTACATGAATAACCTGGTGCAAACGATACACAAGCACAAGCCTAATCGTTTGAAATTGTTTGTTTTATATAGATCTACTTTATTGAGTTGAATAGGGAGAAAACAAGATCAGAAGAATCACGCAGAACACCATTAAAAACTCACAGAAAAGATAAAAAGATACCTCTAGAAAGTACGGTCCGTTAGGGTGATTTGTAGTACTAGAAAGTTCTAGAAAGTACTAGAAAGTACTAGGAAGTACTAGGAAGTTCTAGGAAGTTCTAGGAAGTACTAGAAAGTATTAGAAAGTACTAGGAAGTACTAGGAAGTTCTAGGAAGTACTAGAAAGTATTAGAAAGTACTAGAAAGTATTAGAAAGTACTAGGAAGTACTAGGAAGTACTAGGAAGTACTAGGAAGTACTAGGAAGTACTAGGAAGTACTAGGAAGTACTAGGAAGTACTAGGAAGTACTAGGAAGTACTAGGAAGTACTAGGAAGTACTAGGAAGTACTAGGAAGTTCTAGGAAGTTCTAGGAAGTACTAGAAAGTATTAGAAAGTACTAGGAAGTACTAGGAAGTACTAGGAAGTGCTAGGAAGTACTAGGAAGTACTAGGAAGTACTGGGAAGTACTGGGAAGTACTAGGAAGTACTGGGAAGTACTAGAAAGTACTAGGAAGTACTAGAAAGTACTAGGAAGTATTACAAATCAGTGTAATTTTCTTTAGCATTAACATTTTCAGTGTTCATTGAAAAGCTCTTGAAATTCTCTATTTTTTGAAGGATAGATCATGTTAATCAGATAGATTTGAAGAAAGTTAGAATGATGAAAGATAAAAAGTCTAAGCCTGAGCCTGGGCCTGAGCCTGGGCCTGAGCCTGGGCCTGAGCCTGGGCCTGAGCCTGGGCCTGAGCCTGGGCCTGAGCCTGGGCCTGAGCCTGGGCCTGAGCCTGGGGCTGAGCCTGGGCCTGAGCCTGGGCCTGAGCCTAAGCCTGAGTCTGGGCCTAAGTCTAAGCCTGAGCCTAAGCCTGAGTCTGGGCCTGAGTCTGGGCCTAAGTCTAAGCCTGAGCCTGGACGTCTACATTGAACTGTCTCTTTATCAACTGGTTATCAACAACTGGTTATCAAAATCTCAACAACTCCAGGAAACTAAAGAAAAGAAATGAAGTGAATAATCGAATCGAAAGAGAAAACGAAAGAGTCCACAATGACCAAGGCCTTCTCTTTCATTTGCCCAAAGCTTTCATCATCGGCAGAGGATTTCCCTTTTCCCCTCCTCAAACCTAATCATATCCCTCCCCAAAAATTCACTTACTTTTTTTGGACATTCTTCTTAGACAGAAGAAAAGTTTCTAGAAAATTCAAAGGAATGACCTTGGGTCAATTTGGAGCGCCAAATCGTTACCAAAAACGGAACTCGACTACAATTTTTTGGAATTTCATTTGAATTCCTCAAAAAAACTACTCGGCTATAGTGAAATGAAATCAGAATTTTCTCTGAGAATCGTTTGGGAAAGTAAAATAGTCGTTAGTCGTTAGTAAAATAGTAAAATAGACTTTTGTCGCAAGTCGCAAGTCGCAAGTGACTTTTTTGAGGTCAGCTTCGTCGACTTCTACAATTGAGATCGATTGAGATACAATTTAGAGATATTAAAGTCAATCTTTCAATCGAGATTTTCATTTCCCTTGAAATAGACATTCATTTCAACTCTCAAACTTACTTTGAGGCATACAAACAAACTAAGGCATCCATATTTTATTCTTAACAAACTTTAAGCTCATTTACAGTTGTTTTACCGCTAGAAAATCCCATAAATATAATAGTTTTAGAATCTAAATGATTCAGCGATCATTTCTAGATATAGTACATTAAAATCTATTAAAATTCGATCTCAAAATATCGACGCTAAAAATCGATTCATTGACCCCGAAAACCCCCAGGTACAAACCGAAAATCTCAGGTTTTTCTCTCAAAATCTCATTTGGCAGTTTGCAAGACAAAATCCTCTCAAAGAAGAAAAAATGGAGCTTTTATAAAGAGACTCCAAGTTCTCAAACTTTTCCAAAAATTCTTTCCCTTTTTGTCCAGCTCTTCGCCACTTCCTGTTTCCAGGAAGTTGCCAGAGTGCACCACGAGGAGGTGGCTGGACTTCGTACTCCGCCACCCTGTAGTCCGAAGACTCTTGGGATCCGAGGTCCACGTCTGGTCCTTGGCGATGGCACCGACTCCCGCAGCAAGAATGCTCAGCTTGCTAAGGTGCGCGCAACGTAAGTAGAAGAATGCTCCGAAGTTACACTTTGTTGATGCTAAAAGGGATTGATCTGATCCCCAGTCGGTTTAAGAACCTCGCGGTTCCTCCAATGGGGTGTCCAAACTCCCGCCATCTAGACGACTGTCGAGTAGCGGACAGCTGACGGAAGCCGGAGCCCAAAGGGAGCATAATTGTAATCCGGTTACGAGCAACAGACCATTCTGCCTCCCTCCACGGGTGGCAGTGCGAAATAGTAGCGATTCCACGAACTTCAGCGGTATCCCTCACGGGAGACTGTGGGTCGTTCCACAACATCCTTTCGGTTTTATGCTGCTCGGGGCTATTCGTACAATCGACCCAGGCCAGCCCATGGCTCCGGGCGCCGCCTTCCACGAGCGGGTTAGGCATCGACCAAGACGAGGAGCAAGCTTCTAAAAACCCCTGCCTCCAAAAATTGTTTATTCTCGTAAAACAAGCTGGACCAATGTGCGAGTGGACACAAAGGCGAGAGAAGAGCGAAAAGGATCCCTATGTGTAAAGGCCCTCTGCCAGAAAGTTCGCGATTGTGTGCACGCACAAAGAGCACCAAGCCCCTATTAAGCTATTTCGTTTTTTGGCCGTTACTCAGCCATACTATGACGGATCGGGCTCATTTTTATGTCAAAAATGCGTCTTGAAATTCTCTATCGATTCGATTCAAGGTTTGTTTGGCGAAAAGCAAGTTTAAGTGGGTAAAAACGTGATTGAAGCTTTTGATAGTGATTTCAATTCGAGTTATAGTGAAAATTTGCGATTTTCCACTCAAATCTTCAAAGATAAGCCTAATTCTTTTGGAAATTATATAATTAATAAAATTTCCTAATTATCAAAGGGAAACGAAAGCAAGTTGTTGTCAAATGACCTCCCTGAAATGTTAAATGACCCTGAAATGACATTCTGTTGATTGCAAGACATTCTGTTGATGGCAAGATCAAGCTTTGGATATAAGCTTTACTTGAAAATAACATCACTGTGTAAAACTGATCAGAAAATGTATATTTGATAAATTTGAAGCTTTAAAGAAGGCTTTAAAGCTCATTCTATTCAGAAAAAGTTTGGGAAAGCGTAGCGTGAGAAGAATCGTTGGCAGCAGATTGGTTTTCTATTATTTGAACGCTGAAATGAGCACTACGTAACCGAAAAAAAACTTTACTGTGCAGAAAAGTGACTCTTTTCTGTGAAATCTTATTTAATGTTTTGATTTGAATGTCTGATCTTCTTGTCCCGCCTCTAAAAGATCGCTTTTATGATAAAGGGACGGATAAAAGGGACGGAGCCCACTTTATAGGCCCTTTTCCGTATTCTTGGTATTGCTTTTCGTATTGCTATGAAACACAGAACCAACGATTGATTCTATTCTTTTGTATTTTCTAGATTAGTATTGTGCTAGATTCGGAATAAATATCTAATAATCATTTAACCGTCGGTATTCTCTCTCACACTGCACATTTACTATAAACTCCTTTGTCAAATGACACATTTACTATTGGGTTGATGCATAATTATCCGGACTTCTTTTTGCGTGCTTGTATCTTTTTTGTTTTGAAAGCTTTTTGTCTATTTCTTTTTTTTAAATATTCGTTATTCTTTAGTGAACAAAATGCGTGTCGACAATCATATCCATCTTCGCCATATCATGCTCTACCACTTCGAAAAGGGATGGTCTGCCGCAGAGTCGTTTCGCGATCTCAAAGAACTTTTTGGTCAAGGAACAATTGGACGTGCAACAGTTTATGAATGGTTCGATCGTTTCAAGTCCGGTAACACAAGTGTTGATGATGAACCAGGAAGAGGACGGCCATCAGAATTCGATGACAAGGCACTTCTGGAAGCCGTTGAAGAAGACGAAAGCCTGACAAGCCTGATGAACGTGAGCAATGGCGAATTCCAGACAAAAATGGCAAGAAGCAATTGAACATCAATAGTGACGTCTACTTGGCACAACTTGAACGCTTACATGCTGCAATTCAGGCACGAAGACCGCGCAAAAAGAACAACATCGTCTTTCACCACGATAACGCACGTCCGCACGTTGAGCGCCATGTCGTCGAATCCATCGCTAGTAAGGGCTGGGATCTTCTTCCACACCCGCCATATTCTCCTACTGAAGCCCCAACGGACTACCACGTCAATCGATCGCTCAAAAATTGGCAAACAAATAAGATCTACAACGATTTGGATGACTTGATAGACGATGTTAAAGCGTGGATTGCCTCCAAAGATCGTTTATTCTTCGCTCGTGGAATCGATCGTCTTCCAAGCAAATGGCAATCAGTTATTGATGTAGGCGGTGAATATGCTCCAGAATAATCAATTAAACATATTTTTCTAACTATTTATGTTATTTTTTGTTAAATAAAATCATTTATAAAAGAAGTCCGGATAATTATGCATCAACCCAATATAAACTATAAACTCTTTTGTCAAAATTTCAATGTTTTCATTGAGTTGATTTTCTTGATTCTTTTCAAAATTCTTTCAAGTAATCAGCTTTCTATTGTTGGTTGAATCGTTGGGTGAGGCTTTGAGAGTTGAAAGAGGCCTTTTGACTTAAAAGACTCGTCTTTTCACTTCAGAAAAAGCTTTTTTTCACCACAAAACTATAATCTGTTTTGTTAAAATGAGAAAATGGTTTGTTTTTTTGAATTCATAAACAGTAATTGATCTAATTGGGGTTTTAAATTGGAAAACTTTTCAGCAATTGGATAAGAAGAGCAGTCGTGCACTCATCCTCATCATTTCCACCTTCACTTATCTCCTTTTTGGCGCTTATGTCTTTGATTTATTAGAATCGAAAGCTGATTATGAGGTTTGAATCAAGATTTCCCTATTTATTGAGTTGAAAACAGCCGGCTATTGTGATCTGTGACAGTTTGAGGACTTTCTTCAAAAGAAACCCATTTTGGTGTCAATGGAAAAGTTGTAGAGAATCAAAAATCAAGCTTATATCCAAATTTTCAGAACGATTCAAAAACTGGTTTTCAAGAAATGCCAAATTTACGAATTTTCACAAAACCCAAAACGAAACTTGCATTTTAAGCGAAACTACTAAGTGTATCTTTTTGGAAATTTGACTATAAGCCTAATTTTTGATTCTCTACAACTTTTCTATTGACACCAAAATGGGTTTCTTTTGAAGAAAGTGCTCAAACTGGGACATCTCCAGTCCTCCATTTTTGAGTCTCACACTTGTCTCACACACAAACCAAAATTCTACCCAGAAAGAGGAATCCGCAAATTGCCTTTAAAATGGGCCGTTAATGCCGTTAATGACGATCGTTAATGCAATCAAATACAGTGAACAGTTGGGAAAGGTGAATAAATCCATGAAGAAGAATAGGCCCTCCAAGTCAAAGATCGTTCTCATCCACGACAACGCGCGCCCTCATGTTGCAAAACTGACTCGCTCTAAAATAAATAGCCTTGTTTGGGAGCTTTTGGCGCATCCCCCATACAGTCCGGAACTCGCCCCTTTTGATTACTATTTATTCCGGATCATGAGTAATGAGCTTGCGGGAGAACACTTTGATTCGGAAGAAGCAGTCAAAAATTGGCTTTGAAAGTTTTTCGATTCAAAACCAAAATCCTACTACGAAAGAGGAATCCGCAAATTGCCTGTAAAATGGGCAGAAGTCGTCAATAATAATGGAAATTATTTGGAATGAATTCATGGTTTTATGTTGAATAAATTTTAGTTCAAAGTCCGGCAGTTTTCAATTCACGAACCTAATAGATTTGTTTCTAATTTCAAAAAGAAACACAAAATTTATAGCGTAAAAACAATGATTTCAATCAATCTGACAAAAAAAATGATTTGAAAATAAAAAAGAAATGACGACGCGGCGCTCCGATCGACTACCTCCAAATGGCGGTGACGTCAATTGCAATGCGACGTCGCGCAAAAATCAGCATCAGCAAAAAATCAGCAATCAGCACAGTCTTTATTAGATCTAAATATGAAATTTTCAGCTCCGAGACGAGCTTACTTACATTCGATATCTTCTACAAAAAAAGTACAACTTTACAACAAAGTAAGTCAATTTAAAAGTATCCAATTTTGAATCGAAACATCAAAACATTAAATTGAATTCGTTTTTAAATGTTTACTGTAGAGATTTTTCGCTTTTTGAAACGATTGCTGTCAAATCGATCCCCCACAAGGCTGGTTATCAATGGAAATTCGCTGGCGCTTTCTATTTTTCCACTGTTGTCATCACTACTGTTGGTAAGCGAATTTTCTTTTACTTTCAACCACATTTTTCTAGGTTACGGTCATTCTGCACCTGAAACATTAGCCGGTCGTCTATTCTGTATGTTGTTTGCTCTAGCTGGTAGAAAATTCTTGCTAATTTCTTGCATCTAAATCTTTAGGAATCCCCCTTGGACTTGTGATGTTTCAATCAATTGGTGAACGAGTCAATACAATGATCGCTTGTTGTTTGCATAGGGTTTGTTGATCTTGAACAAAAGAACAAATGATAACTCTTTTCTCAAGAGTCAGAGATCCTAGTCGGATGCGGAAAATGAGAAATTACATACCGGTGCATAGTAGTGCACCGTCGCCTAAATTCCTCGAAATCTCGAGAACCGCTTATCAGAACCTATCGATGTGGGGTCGGAAAATGTAGCTGACGATGAGATCTAGTGGAGGATTTGAGTGTTGAGCTTCTGGGAAAACTTTGGAAGCCGTAAATAGTCATCAACTCGGCTCGACGGGGTGCACTACTATTAGAGAAAATACGGTAGCTCAAATGTTGCTACAGTACGAAGACAGAAAAGGACACACTTTAGCAAACAATGGTTCGTTGTTCTTTTTGAAGCTTTCATTGATGGATAGTGCGTTGATTTTCAAGCCTAAGCCTAAGCCTGAGCCTGAACCTAAGCCTGAGCCTAAGTCTAAGCCTGAGCCTGGACCTAAGCCTGGGCCCAAGTCTAAGCCTGAGCCTGGACTCAGGCCTGGCCCTAAGTCTAAGCCTGAGCCCGGACCTAAGCCTGGGCCTAAGTCTAAACCTGAGCCTGAACCTAAGCCTAAGTCTAAGCTTGAGCTCGTCTAAATTCCTCGAAATCTCGAGAACCGCTTATCAGAACCTATCGATGTGGGGTCGGAAAATGTAGCTGAAGATGAGATCTAGTGGAGGATTCGAGTGTTGACCTTCTGGGAAAACTTGAAACCCGTAAAATAGTCACCAACTCGGCTCGCCGGGGTGCAACTATTAGAGAAAATACGGCTGGATCGCTGGTAGTTCGGTATTCATTTTATCTACACAAAGAGATCCTATAGAGAAAGTGGAAGAGATTTAAAGACATAAAGCTAGCGAGCTAGAGCACAGTATAAGCTAAAGATTGTGAATCTAAAGAAATCTCAGAAATCCACTCTAGAAACCCACATTTCTGCACACTGTACGGTAATGACTTGAACTGGATAAAGATCAGAAGCCAGATCCAGAGCTGAAATTGTTTCTGATCTTACCAGCTTGACTCCTTAATCAAGCTGGTGAGATGCCAACAATCCTAATAACCCTAATACCTCAATCTTCCAGTATTTTGCGGCTTTCCCTCTGTTTTTCAAAAAATAAGAAGCAAAACAGAAACCAAGTTTTAAAAGTTAAGCAAGAACCACCATTTTTAGCTTGACTGCCGTTTTCAGACGATCTATAGCTGTAGATATTAGCTCTATTAGATCTATCCTAGCTCCCTTTTCCTTGCCAATAATTCTTGCAGTAAAGTTAGCAAAAGTAATGCTAACAATTCTTGCAAGTGCAGAACGTTTTCACGCTGTATCTTCATCTACGCCAACCTCAACCTCTACCTTTCAGATCCGTTCTCTCCTCCGCTCTTGTGGCTTTCAAATCCTTCCGAAAATCACTCCAACTCATCTAATCATCACCTCTCTTTCCATTGGATCAACAATTATCCTCATCGGTACCTATGTCTTCCATCGGAATGAACGATGGACACTTTTTGAGGCATATTACTATTGTGTGATTACTTGTAAGAGAGTTTTTAGTTTCGAAAAGTTTTCAAAATTTTAGTGTCAACGATCGGTTTTGGTGATTATGTTCCATTGCAAAAAGAGGGAATCCTTCAAAAAGACCCAGTCTATGTCCTTTTCACGCTTTTCTTTGTACTCACGGGTTTAGCCGTTTTCTCGGCTTGTGTTAATCTGTTGGTGTTGAGGTGAGTGCAGCAATTTGTAGAGGATAGCTGTAGATTACAGGATAGCTGTAGAATTAGATTAGTTGTAGATTAGCTGTAGATTAGCTAACTCTGCTCGGCCGTATCCAAGAACAATTCATTTAACACATTGACGATCGTTCTTCCACAATTCTACCAAAAATCAGTTTGAACCAAAGTGAATTCAAGTGGATATTCTGTCTGGCAGTGTCTGGTAGTGTCTGGTAGTGTCTGGCAGTGTCTGGTAGTGTCTGGCAGTGTCTAGGAGTGTCTAGGAGTGTCTAGGAGTGTCTAGGAGTGTCTGGCAGTGTCTGGCAGTGTCTGGCAGTGTCTAGGAGTGTCTAGGAGTGTCTAGGAGTGTCTGGCAGTGTCTGGCAGTGTCTGGCAGTGTATAGGAGTGTCTGGCAGTGTCTGGAAGTGTCTGGCAGTGTCTAGGAGTGTCTAGGAGTGTCTAGGAGTGTCTAGGAGTGTCTGGCAGTGTCTGGCAGTGTCTGGCAGTGTCTAGGAGTGTCTAGGAGTGTCTAGGAGTGTCTGGCAGTGTCTGGCAGTGTCTGGCAGTGTATAGGAGTGTCTGGCAGTGTCTGGAAGTGTCTGGCAGTGTCTAGGAGTGTCTAGGAGTGTCTAGGAGTGTCTAGGAGTGTCTGGCAGTGTCTGGCAGTGTCTGGCAGTGTATAGGAGTGTCTGGCAGTGTCTGGAAGTGTCTGGCAGTGTCTGGAAGTGTCTGGCAGTGCCTGGCAGTGTCTAGGAGTGTCTGGCAGTGTCTGGAAGTGTCTGGCAGTGCCTGGCAGTGTCTAGGAGTGTCTGGCAGTGTCTGGCAGTGTCTGGCAGTGTCTGGCAGTGTCTGGCAGTGTCTAGCAGTGTCTAGCAGTGTCTGGCAGTGTCTGGCAGTGTCTAGCACGTTATAAAGCCAGAGATACGTGGATATTCTTTGTGCGAACATCTAAACGGTTCTTCTAGGCCCATTTATTCGATTCAATTACACAAGTTTTTGTGTAATTCAGTCTGATGGCTTGTTTTTAAGGCCTCAACATTCAAAACTAACTGGACTTGGACTCCACACTGCAGAAAATCTTTCGATACAAATTTCTAAGGCTTGTAAATAGAATACTCATGAGTTGTTTGCAATTGAAATATGACTAATTTAAATTTAAATTAATTGTGCTTCGATTCGGACGTCTGAATCAGAGCAAGATTGATTTTGAGCACAATTAATGTGCTCTAAAGCTTACCTTCTTGAGGCTCATGGCCAGCAATACTGATCCTTTAGGTTCATGGCCAGCAACACTGATCCAGTCTCCGCAGCAGCTCGTGAACCACCAAAAACTGTCGTTTTTGAGTTATTGGGTGAGTTAAGGAAATCGAAATACTATAAATTAGAGGAATTTTAATTGATAAGCTTTTTACCTATTGAAATGTGAATTCTTTTCTCTCTTTTCGTCAGCTTCTCATTCTTTTCAGCCTCGAGAACCCTCGCGAGTCGATCGTGGGATCCACAAAGGAAAACTTCGGCATACTCGTCGAATTATCGGGTAGATAAATCATTTCTTGATCCGGTTGTAAGAAAAAGTCTATATGACTCTCTAATTAGCAAGTATTATATAAGATTTTTAAGTGACTTTACTTCCAGGCTTAGTTGCTTACATCCAGGCTTACTTTCAAGCTTACTTCCAGGCTTAGTTCCAGGCTTACTTCCAGGCTTCGTTTCAGACTTACTTCCAGGCTTACTTCCAGGTTTACTTCCAGACTTACTTCCAGGCTTACTTCCAGGTTTACTTCCAGACTTACTTCCAGGCTTACTTCCAGGCTTAGTTCCAGGCTTACATCCAGGCTTACATCCAGGCTTACTTCCAGGCTTAGTTCCAGGCTTAGTTCCAGGCTTAGTTCCAGTCTTACTTGCTTACTTCCAGGCTTACTTCCAGGCTTTACTTAATTCCAGGCTTCAATGGAATCATCAACTTCAATGAAGAAAAGTCTCTCGAATTTGAAAACTCAGAAGAAAATCAGGTCCTCGAAATCATAAGAACCCTAAGAAAATCAATCATTAAAATCTATTAAATAAGAAAAAATTTTAGAAAACTTGATTGTTGTCATTGTTTCTCGAGAGAAGAAAAGAAGAAAAAGGAAAAAGAAAAGGGGAATTCGATTCGAAAGATACCATATCGAGTTCGAATGGGACCGATTGAAAGTGTGGAACATTTGGCTAGATCTGCTTCTGGGAAATCATGAAATAAACAGTTTTATTATAAGAAAATCTTTGAAATTTTTTCTTTCTTGTAACATCAAAGCTTTATTTAACACCTTAAGCCGAACAGGAGTTGATATTAGTTTACAATAAGCCGTTAAATCAAGCCTTGCATTGACATTGAGCCTTGCATTGTACCTTTGTCACTCATTTGTACCTTTGTCACTCAAAACTCAGCTTTCTCACTAGAAAATAGCTGCAAAAAGCTCCAAAAAGCTCCAAAACAGCGGTAAAAACGAGAAAATGACATTTTAACAATGACATTCCGGTTTAATTACCCGAGATGTGCTAGAAAGTGAAAGAAAGTGAGTTTACAGGTAAGCAGAAAGAACAGGGGTTGATATTAGTTGACCAGACAAGACAAGCTGACCTTTTGTTTACAATAGTTTCAGCTAACCGTTTGTAATTATTAACAAGTCCTAAATGCACGTTATTAATTATTAACACCTCCTAAATGCAAGTAGGTACATTTAAAATCATTGAACACATTCATATTCTGTTCATTAAGCTTTCTTTTTGTTTTCTTTATGTTTTCTTTATGTTTTCTTTGTTTTCTTTGTTTCTTTTTGTTTTCTTTGTTTTCTTTTTGACTAAAATGAGGACTTTCCATCCTTTTTAGATAAGAGTCGTTTCCCCTTCTCTTTCCCCGTTTTTCCCTTTCTGAATATCGATTTTTGAACCAACAAATCTTTTCCTTTAAATAATTCAGCCTTCAAATTCGATTTTGCTACGTTTTCTGTACATAAAATGAATCTCTTTCTTGTGATCATCGCCTTGATTGTTTATGTGAATGCTGAGAAAAGGTAAGTAGAAAAAAACATTGATGACTTATCAGTTATATGTATGCTTTATTCATGGGCGAATAGAAGCGAATCAGATAATCATAAGCGAATCAGATAATCAGATATAACATATTGCTACAATACTTTCACAAAAAAGAAAGAAAACTAAAAATAGTACAGTAAGACAGGAAACACAGGTACAAAAAGATATAGGGCAAATTTGACATAGCAATAAGATCTAATTCGTTTACAAATACTTTCAATTTTCCTACAGACGAGAAGATACCAGACGATCTTATTCCAAAGGAGCTTATTCCAAATCCTACTAATACGGTTCGCAAAAGAATGATAAAGGGAAAGATGATGGGGATGAGAACCGACAGAAATTTGATAAGGATCCTTATCATCTTTATCAAATTATCGTAGACGTGTACTTCTAGGCCTTTCCACAATTTTCAAGAGGCTTTGAAATTCTGGATTCGACTTAGGGTGGAAAAGAATTTTATAGCAAAAAAATAAGATCAAAGTGAATACGGCGATATAAAAGGAGTTTTAAATCAAAAACTATAAGTTAAATCAAAAACTAGACTATAAGTCTAGTCTCATAATTTGGAATAAGAGAAGAAGGGAAACAACGAGTGCTTTTTTAGTAAAACGCCGTTGGACATTTTCAACCAAGGTGATAAGTTTCTTAATGGAAGGGGACCGATGGAAGGTGACCATACGATGGTGGCATACTTAGTTATACATATAGTTATACACTTTCATTGTCCACTAATGGACAATGAAATATCATATTTGAAAAAACACTTTCGCACTTTCGCACTTTCGCGCGTCTATAACTCCCTTGTCTTTACCGTATGTCTAAATATTAATATTACCATTGTGTAGCCTTTGAAAAGAGCTTTCAGAAAATGTATAACACTAATAGTTTAAGATACACTTACAGTGCGTTTCAAATTCTTAAATGCAACCTCTAAAATAGCCGATTTTGCATTTTGAATCCTACTCCGACTCGATGAACTGACGCGTTGTCGTGTTGAAACACATGGAGAATGCCTGGATGTAGGTCCAAACAGGGCAGCAAGCAATCGTCCAAGCAACGATTAGCCTTTTTCTATTAGAAAGAGCATATCTTAAAACCTAAATAACACGAAAAAGAAGCATACTGTAAAAAGTAAAAATTCTCAAAATAGAAACTTTTTGCTAAATCAACCGTTTCAAATTCTTAAACTCACTATGAAAATATTTTTATTTATCGACACAAATTAACAATCAAAGGTAAAAAATCAAAACTAATAATCTGTACACGCACCAGAACGATTAATTACTTGAAAAATGCGGTCTGGCATTGAATTGATGAGGTTTTGAAGAGCAGAGACGTCGAGATAGCTAGGCCGAAAAAATTGCTGCTTTAAGTGTAGAAACGTCTTGAAACTGACGATGATTCTTGTAGACTTCTCGAACAAGTATTCGGTATAAATTCCCTATCGGATTGAGGTCAGGAGACTGAGCGGGCCAGTCCAAAGTTGCAATGTTGTTGTTGTTCAGCCAGCCTCGGGTGTGTCCGGCTCGATGAATTGACGCGTTGTCGTATTGAAACAAATCGGGAACGGTTGGATTTAGGAGCAAAAACGGCAACAAGCAATTGTTTAAGATATCCATCTAGTCATCCGATTCGAAACCATCATCAGAGCGACCGTTCCATCAGCACCGTTCAGCACCGTTGAGCGACCGTTCCATCAGCACAAAAGTTAGCGAATCATTCGTTAGCAGCTAACCGATTACGAATCATTCGTTAACGGCTGAATCTCGGGTGTGTCCGGCTCTCGGGTGTGTCCGGCTCTCGGGTGTGTCCGGCTCTCGGGTGTGTCCGGCTCTCGGGTGTGTCCGGCTCTCGGGTGTGTCCGGCTCTCGGGTGTGTCCGGCTAATCCGTGAGCAGCTTTCCGTGTGCCATTTACCGTTAGGCGTTAGGCGTTAGACGCGTTCCAGTATAGATCTCGGTGGTGCTTCGGCGGATATCAGTGTTGGTCGCGACATTGTTTTAAAGGATTAAGAGATAGATCTCGGAGTATTGTTATAGAGATCTCGGAAGGGAGGAGGCCCTTTAAATCCTCTTTGAATTCACTCTAAAAGGCTTCAAGAAGGGAAAATATAAGTTTGATTCACTTTAAAAGGCTTTTCCGAACTATAAGATCGAACTTTCAAGTTCCCAATCTAATAACCGATACCAAAACCGATACCGAAAGGTAGATTTTTCGAAATCTCATTAAAACCTTTAGTTTTCGAGTTGTTTCTTTCAATTTATGGCAATTCGGAAAACATGTTGAGAAAGGATTTGAGAAAATCGTTAAACACATCAAAATTATCGATGCTGATGTTTTTTCTTTGCAAGTAAGCCAAAAATTTTACATGATAGCTTGTAAATTTCAATAAAATTTCGATTTCTGACTAAATACGGTTCCTAATACGGTTCGTAATACGATTTCTGACTAAATACTTTGAAATTTGCATACTGGTTGCCTGTAGATTGTCCATTTCCATAAACATTAACGATATTTCGTTTTATGAAGTGCAAAATGTGACGATTATGGAAAGATTGGTGGACGAGTTGGGTGAACCGTGGACAGCTGTTTTCCCCAATTCACCCTATCCAAATATCGGGATTTTGACGAAACAAAAGGTGAGCAGTATAGTATTTTGTGCAAATAGAAACACATCCTTTCTCGTGCACCCTGTTTCTCTACTTTTGTAGATAAAGAGCATATAAAAGCTGATCTAGGCTATTTGTAAGTGGTAGTTGTAGTACGTAGTACATAGCAGTTGTAGTACGTAGGACATAGCAGTTGTAGAACGTAGTACGTCACAGTTTTTACTGGTAACTGTTGGTGACTGCTAGTTGCGTAGTAGTTGCGTAAATGGTTGATGTAAAGAATTGCTACTAGATGGGCACTAGATGGGCACTAGATGGGCACTAGATGGGCACTAGATGGGCACTAGATGGGCACTAGATGGGCACTAGATGGGCACTAGATGGGCACTAGATGGGCACTAGATGGGCACTAGATGGGCACTAGATGGGCACTAGATGGGCACTAGATGGGCACTAGATGGGCACTAGATGGGCACTAGATGGGCACTAGATGGGCACTAGATGGGCACTAGATGGGCACTAGATGGGCACTAGATGCTGAAAGTTTCCATTTCAGCACAAAGTACACATTGAAATACAGTAATCACTATCTAGGTTATCCCAACATCCGTCGAAAACACGACAGCTGGTGTGCATGCGCGCATTCAATTCCCTCAAGGATTTTACATCAATTTTTGGGCTTTTCATGGATGGCATAAGTGAGTAAATCTAGAATTTAACTCTTCAACCAATTCCCTTTTCAACTTCAACTAATTTCAGATCCTACGGCCCACATGCGGCTTTTAATCGCTTAGTGACGAATCTCTCGCAAATTATCGCTGGTGAATTTGCGCCAAAGGAGAAAGGGACAGGTAAAAGTTAGAAATATTGTCTAGGTTTCTACTATAACTGTTACTGTAATTGTAAAGTTTATATCTTTAGATTACTATAGTCTTGCTTAGACTTAGGTCTTGTCTTGCATAGACTTTTGTCTTGTCTTGCATAGACTTTTGTCTTGTCTTGCTTAGACTTATGTCTTGTCTTGCTTAGACTTATGTCTTGTCTTGCTTAAACTTTTGTCTTGTCTTGCCTTGCTTAGACTTAGATCTTCATTTTTGTCCTTTCATATTCTATCTTCTCATATTGTATCATATCTGCTATGTTTACTGTAATTAAACTTCTAATTCGAATCCCCAGGACGAGCTCAAAACGTTCGCGAGGTCTTGCAAAGTGAATCAATGAAAAGAGATTTGAAAGATTTGGATGAAATGCCGATGTTTATTCTCGGTGATTTCAACTCGCCCAGTCATCAAGATTGGATTCAAGAAACAAAGTAAGAAAATTAGAAAAACCCTGTAACTACCCGTGTCATTTCGTTCTTTAGTATCTAATCTATATTCTAATAAATTTATCAAACCATCAAACAAACAAATTCATGAACTTTTTCTTAGAAATCTCCATTCGGATTGGGTTGTCCCTTGGCCATCCACCAAGCAATTGACTGATGAGGGTTTTATTGATTCATATCGAGAACTTTATCCTGATCCTGTTAAGCAACCAGGTACTGCTTTCATTTAAATGTTTTTATTTGTTGAATTTGTTAGTTTTAAGATTTCTACAGTACAGTTTCTGCAGTATCTGAGTGGAAGTGTTCAGACAGTTCAGACAGTTCAGACAACCAAACAACTTAGTACTAAAAGATATTCAGATTAACTGAATACCTTTTAGTACTAAGCCTTTACAGTATCCCTACCGTAAATACTGTAATAGTACCGCACCCCCATAATGACGGTGCAGAGCGTTGCGTAGTCTAGCTTTGAACTAGTTTTTCTCGGCACTAGTTTAAGCTACAATGTGTGCTTAGGTATCAAAAAATAGCCCTGAATTTCAGCTATCTTTTGATACCTAAGCGAGCATTCTAGCTTAAACCAGTGTCGAGAAAAGCTCGTCGAAAGCTAGACTACGCAACAATTCGCACGGTCATTATGAGGGCGGGGTACTGTTACAGTATTTACGGTAAGCTAATTTTCTTCCCATTTCAGGTTACACATGGTCTCCAGTCGCAAAAACGAATTACGAATGGGATTTCGTCTTTCCCGATCCACAAGATCGAATCGATTTTGTGTTTTATAAGGGAAAAGTGAAACCTGAAAAGTTGGATGAGATCATATTCCTTTCAATCGAGCTTTAGAATCGAATTGTACGCGGGAAAAGAAACACTGAAGATGATGCCCGATCATTTCTACAATGATTATCCATCAGATCATTATGCTGTCATTGCCGATTTTGTGTTTAGGGAAAGTGAATCGGAAAAGAAAGAATAAAGCTGTAAAAGCGCGTTCTTTGACGAAAAATTTGGAGAATCTGAATATCGAAATGATTTTATTTTTAAATGTCTTGTAGCTTTTTCAAATAGAAAAAGTGGATCATTTTACTATAAAGACAAAAGTGATTCTATCTTTTGATACGATTTCTAAAAACCTTTTAAAAACGCCGTCAATGAACATTTCAATAGTAAAAGCATTGAATTGGAACAAATCCAAACAAACAAATATCGGGGGAGCGGTCCGATTATCGGGGGAGCGAAATGAAAATCAAGAGAGTATTCGTTCCTAGGTATAAACGGGTGTGGACTAGAATTTGGGTTAAGTTAAAGAGAGTGGATCCCTTTTGATATCCCGCCATCTCTAACACCCCGACAACCCAACTCAACTCCTCCAACGCGTTGGAGGACTCCCCTCTAATACGTGGCAACGTATTAGAGGGGAGTCCTTGTGAAATGGCCGGCTTGAACTGCAGTTGCATAGACCCGGAAGGTATGTATCTTTATTTACAGTAGTACAATAAGACGAATAGATTACAAATGAGTGTAAGGGGAAGGGGCGACTCCAAATGAGAGTCTCACTTGTCCTCCTTGGCAATCCCAAGGACCGCCCCTTCTCGGCAATAAAAGGGATAAGGGGAGAACACATTTGCATAAGAATAGACAAATCATTCAATAATAACAATAGTAACTAAAATATCAGTTTGGCTCGGAGCTGACAGGAGTAAATTTTGCCCTCACGAAAAATGCATTTCCAGGAGTGTATTTTAACTGCAACGTTTTTTTTAAACTTTAACGACGATGCGCTTCTCCGACATTTGTGCGTTTAAGAAATCGACGGCAATCGATTATTTCGTCACCAAAGGAGTCATCCAGTCATGGATTTGCAACTTTGGTGAATTGATGAAAGTCCGCTCAAAGGGAAAATATCTATTTCGCTCTCGCTTTCGATCTATTTCGTATTCTAAGTCACTTTTGTGATCTAATATAAAGGTTGTGAAAATAACGGGTAATTCGGGGATTTTATGGTGGTAATTTGTATAATATAGGACATATGTAGCGCTGGCAAAATTTGCTCTCCTGATTTTCATTTCGCTCCCCCGATAATCGGACCGCTTCCCCGATATTGGAAAATTACCATATTTTCTCTCTCGTTATTCGAATTCGTGCAATTAGCCCGTTGGGTTAAAGTCAAATACAGATAACAAATAAATTGTGGTTGGTAAAACGAAATTTGTGCTATAAAAGACTCAAGCCTCTTGCTCTCAACACAGATACAGGGTGCGCCAAAAGTTCCCGTACTTTTTCCATAAACGCTTTAGGTTTTATCTTTAGTTGCTTAATGTTGATGTATTTACTTTTTTACATTTATTGATTACATTTTGATATTATCTTTTAAGAAAAGAGCAATTATTACTTTTACAGATACAACAAACATGACCACCGAGGTAGCGAAAAGAAGGATATTCTATTAGGTTGTCCATTTATGAATGCACGCCTGCTCTTGAACAACTTGAACAGCATTCCTTAGAGCTTTACAATTTTATTAAACCCAATTTTCTATATGCTGTTCAGGATTTCTTATTTTATTACAACATTTCGTGTTTTTGACGTCAAACCAATTTTTGATTTAATTTCTTTGTTTAGATTTAATTTCTGTGAATGACACAAAGTTTCGTCTCCGTGCCAGTCTTTGGTATGACTTCAAATTGGGCAAAAATATCGCTGAATCTCATCGAGGCCTTTGGAAAGTATTTTGGAAGATGCTATTTCGGAAAGCCAGTTGGGCGGAAAGCCCGGCGATGGTTTCAACGATTTCGAGAAGGAGAGAACGATTTTTGGGAGATGAGGACCACCGGCCTCCTACGATCGATAATGCAGTACTTAAACAGGCGATCGAAATTGATCCTCGACAAACTACACGTGAACTTGCAGAAATATTTGGAATCAGCCCTCAAAAACGCGCATTTATAACTGGACAACCTAATAATAGAAGAGCCCCCTATTGTCGCGTAGTCTAAGTTTACACTCAAAGAACAGCTCATATCTTGGCGCTCAGACATTTGTTTCTGCGCGCTAAGATATCAAATTAAAGTAGAGAAAATGGGTGATTTTTTGAGATGTAGCACATATTTTTAGCATTAATCAGCGCTTAGAACAAAAAGATTAAAAAATGATGGAAAATCGACTTTTTTTTGCCACTTTTCAATCATTTTTTCCTAAGCACTGGTTAATGCTAACAATAGGTATCATATCTCAAAAAAAATCACCCATCCTCTCTACTTTAATTTGATACCTAAGCGCTGATTGAAATATTAATCTATTAGAATATTTACGGTAACTTTTCAAAATCCTATAGATTTTCTGAAAGCTAACAGAACGTTCTAAGTCATATTCATAAAACATAAAGTATTCAAGTCTATTCAATATCTTTGATGCCGTAGTTGAAACCTTTACCCTCAATGTTTCAGCTCATCTCCCTCATCATTGAGTTACAAAAACAAGGAAAGAAAGCGATGGAAATTGTTCGTATTAAAGGATTTTCAAAAATGACGGTCTATGATGCAATAAAACGATTTAATGAGTTGGGAAATGAAAAGGATAGAGCAAGAAGCAAGAACCAACTGCAACAACACCAGAAAAGGTCAATAAGGTGCACTGTCAAATTAACTGCAACAACACCGTTACGATCGATGAGAAAAATGGCAGTGGCTTTGAAAATTGGCTTAACAAGTGTCAGAAGAATTGTCCATATGAAGCTAAAAATGTCTAGCTACCGGATCTGTACTCTAGTGTTAAGATAAGAACTTTTTGGTATACCAATAGAGCTTCTCGACCAAACGTAACAGTATAAAAGAGATTGACGAATCAAAGAGTGAAAGAAATAGCTCAAAAATATAAACTAAACAATCTAAGAACTCTTTTTTGATGAACAGATTCGATTCATTCGTAAAATTTAGCCTCTAGTCAGTTTTAATTTGATTTTAATTCATTTTAACCCTTAATCAGTGATAAGTTTGTAAATTAGAGGATTGATAAATTTAAATAACGTCATTTTCAAGTCATTTTACTTACTTTAGACAGCGTTAAAGCTTTTCAAATCTTCATTGAATCGAATGGTGGTAAAAGAATGGCAAAAGATGGGCAAAAAGTGATGTTGTCCTTCTCCCCAAATTCCCCTTTTCATTGCACTTTTGTTGAACTCTGTGCTCTTTTCTTTCATTCCATTTCCTTTTCAGAAAAGCCGACCAGATGCCAACTGGAGAAGGCTTTTCTCTTCTTTCTCTTCTCTTTTGTCTTCTCTTCTCTTCTCTCTTCTCTTCTCTCTTCTCCTCTCTTCTCAGCTCTTCCCTTCTCCTTTTCTCTCTTCTCCTCTCTTCTCAGCTCTTCCCTTCTCGTTTCTCTCTTCTCCTCTCTTCTCATCTCTCCCCTTCTCCTTTTCTCCCTTTCTATTCTCAATCCATATCTAGCATAGTTTTCAAGTTTTTTCTTCTTTTCTGCTCCTGAATACTTTCTATTCTTTGATTATTCACGGAATTAATTGACATCTAAACTTTTGTTCCTTTTTTAAAACCAGTTCCAACTTTTATACTTTTTAAACGAGCTTTTAACTTCAAGCTTCGAGCTATTCACAGTAATTTCCTGTTTTCTGTTTCCTTAGCTTGCTTATATACTAGAATTGCTTATCGATCAAACGTTGTGTTCAATTGTAAACGGTAATCACGAAAAATAACTAGTGAATCTGTTGTCGAATATAACCGATTAGAAAGCTATTTTAAAAGCTCGATACATTTCTCCATTTTCTCGTCGAGTCTTTTTCTCGAAACTACTCCATTTCCTTGATAAGACAATTGATTCTGAGTAAAGTTTTCTTCAAAAGAGAAATTTCAATTTCTGTTTTATTTTTGAACTTTTCTTTTCGATAGAAAACATAGATCTTGTTCTCATTGCTCAAATATTTTGATTGTTGTCCAAATTTCCGTTCAATCAGTTCAATAATCATCTTTTATTCGTTAAATTGCCATTGGCTGACTGAATTTTCGATGTTTCTTTCATTTGATAAGATAATAGTTTAAAGATCAATTAAAACTTAAAAGAAATGAAGATTCTCTATTTCTTCCAGAGTTAGAACTCGATTTCTGACGCTAAATAATCGATTTCAGGTAGCGTTTTTCATGTTTTCTTCAAGTGGTTGTCTCTTTTGTGATCTTCTCTATATAATCCCTCTCATCACAGCTTTTTATTTCTTGAGGTAAGTGAAAATTGAGAAGTAATCCATCTTTCCTACACAATTTGCATAATCAAGGTGATCTTTAATAGTTTCTAGATGGATTAGATTCATCTGATGGGGCCAGGTCGGGACTATAAGGCGCGTGGGGCAGAAGTTTCTAACCAAGCTCGTCGATTTCTTTGTCTTAAATGCTGATGATGACAAAAAATGATATACAAACTTCCTAAGCACTTACAGGCAACTTTTTTGTGCATATCTCAAAAGCTTTCCGATCTCCAAAAGTTAATTTCCTTTTTTTTGTCGTTTTTTTGTCGTTTTTCCTTTTTCTTGGAAGAATTTGCTCTTTTGATTAATAGTTTTCCGCTAGATTTCTTAAGATTTACTTAGATTTGACTCTCGTTAAGAGAAAAATGAAATAAGATTACATTAAGTTGATTAAAATAATACGAAAATTGGTTGTCTAAAGTTATAAACTTGTGACAAGTACAGAACGATTGTAACAATTGTAAGAACTATAAATTTTGTATAATAACTATTGTAAGAACTATTGTAAGAACTAGTTGTTATGAAAGCTTGAATAGCTTCCTTTAGACAATACATTCGTGGTGGTCAATTCAAGGAGAACGTGCGAGCAAACGGGAAAATTGCTGTGGTTACAGGAGCGAATTCTGGAGTGGGAAGGGCATTATGTGAGGAGTTGAATAAAAGGTGAGATTTGGGAAAGATTTTGATACGAGTACTTGGCCTTACTATTTACTATAGCACAGTAAAATATAGTGCTTTAATACAGCAGTATTCATTATCTTCTATTCATTTAGGGGAGCTAAAGTCTACATGTTATGTCGAGACGAGAAACGAGCCGCTCAAGCAAGAGAACAGCTTGTTGAGGTGAGAAAAGCTTTTGAATAAAACTTATCTTCAATATTCAGTTATTGGTATAATCTATTGGGTTGGTGAATTGAAAACTGCGGGCTATTGTGATCTGTGACAGTTTGAGGACTTTCTTCAAAAGAAACCCATTTTGGTGTCAATGGAAAAGTTGTAGAGAATCAAAAATCAAGCTTATATCCAAATTTTCAGAACGATTCAAAAACTGGTTTTCAAGAAATGCCAAATTTACACAAAAGAAATGCCAAATTTTCACAAAGCTTGCATTTTAAGCGAAACTACTAAGTGTATCTTTTTGGAAATTTGGCTATAAGCCTAATTTTTGATTCTCTACAACTTTTCTATTGACACCAAAATGGGTTTCTTGAAGAAAGTGCTCAAACTGGGCTGACAGCTGACATCTCCAGTCCTCCATTTTTGAGTCTCACACTTGTCTCAAACACAAACCAAAATCCTACTACGAAAGAGGAATCCGCAAATTGTCTGTAAAATGGGCCTTTAATGCCGTTAATGACGACCGTTAATGCAATCAAATACAGTGAACAGTTGGGAAAGGTGAATGAATCCCTGAAGAAGAATAGGCCCCCCAAGTCAAAGATCGTTCTCATCCACGACAACGCGCACCCTCATGTTGCAAAACTGACTCGCTCTAAAATAAATAGCCTTGTTTGGGAGTTTTTGGCGCATTCCCCATACATTCGGACCTCGTCCCTTTTGATTACTATTTATTCCGGATCATGAGCTTGCGGGAGAATACTTCGATTCGGAAGCAGTCAAAAATTGGCTTTGCAAGTTCTTCGATTCAAAACCAAAATCCTACTACGAAAGAGGAATCCGTAAATTGCCTGTAAAATGAGCAGAAGTCGTTAATAATAATGGAAATTATTTGAAATGAACTTATGGTTTTATGTTGAATAAATTTTAGTTCAAAGTCCCGCAGTTTTCAATTCACCAACCCAAAATTTACAGAACGGTTGTAATGATTCAAATCTTCTCATTCAAACAGTCGATCTTGCCGATTTCTCGTCGATTCGAGATGTTGTGAAAATATTGTTAACAGGTAGTGTTTACTAGACTTCGATTTACAATTAGTATTAAGCTGTCCAGAAAGTCTTTTCATTCCTTTTCGAGTTGCGATCTTTTTCCAAGCCTGGGTTGACGCTTTAAAGCGTGGTAAAACTACCGTACCCCACATAATTTGCAAAAAGAAAGCGCTCAATTTCATTCTTTCATTCCTTTTTGCGTTCTCACACTGCCCATTCTGATTATGTCTTTCAGTAATTATTCTGAAACAATCATGATTTTTTAACTGAACTGAATCAGCAACTTCTAGATATGTAAGAAAAAATGTTTCTCTATTTTCTGCAAAGAATTTGCCAAGTTTCATTTTTTGTTTCGTAAAACCGGGGCTATGCGCGTTGGGGGTAGGCAGTGCATTTGCAATCTAATGAGCGTTGTCGAAAACCCAAGAAAATTAAAATGCCACTGGCAAAATTGAGGATAGTCCCACTGTCTACCCCAACGCGCATAGCCCCGGTTTTACGAAACAAAAAATGAAACTTGGCAAATTCTTTGCAGAAAATAGAGAAACATTTTTTCTTACATATCTAGAAGTTGCTGATTCAGTTCAGTTAAAAAATCATGATTGTTTCAGAATAATTACTGAAAGACAAAATCAGAATGGGCAGTGTGAGAACGAAAAAAGAATGAAAGAATGAAATTGCGCGCTTTCTTTTTGCAAATTATGAGGGGTACGGTAGTTTTACCATGCTTTAAAGTGTCAATCCAGGATTTTCTCGAATGGGAATGAAAAGGGACTCTTTGGACTTAATAATTCAGTCTAATACGGTGATTTTTACGATATATTTTCTTCTATAACTGTCAAATATTGTAGATTCTTTAAAACCAAACTTTTAGAAGAGTCCCATATCGATATTTTGATCAATAATGCTGGTCTACTTGGTATCCCACAATTCGAGAAGACGAAAGATGGAGTGGAGAAGACATGGCAAAGCAATTATTTGGGTAAACAATATTCAGGAAACGATTTTCACAACTCCTCCCAATTCAGGTCATTTCCTATTAACCGAACTTCTTCTTTCATCGCTCGAAAAATCATCGGATCCTCGGATTGTCAATGTTTCGAGTATAGTTCATCCTTTAGCTGATTCGATCGATCTCGATTACGGTTTGTTATACTTATTTTCAAATACAGGGTGCGTCATAATTATTGCAACAAGATACTCAAGGCATTGCACACCAAGAAGTTTCACTGGAAGAAGATTTTTAAACAGAAATAGCTTTATTTAACAGTAACAAATAAGGAAACAAGAGATCATTCGATATGACCGCCTTTTGCCTTGATAACAGCCCTTAATCGGTTCGGATATGCCTCCACTGCGGCCCGGATGTCATCTTGAGGAGTCGCCTTCCATCTTTTGGTCAAAGACTTCTTCAAAGAATCCAAACTTGTGTGTTTTCGAGAGCAGACATTAGCCTCTAAGATTGCCCAAATGGAAAAGTCCATCACATTGAGATCCGGTGAGTTTAGAGGCCATTCATCCTTGGTGATCACTGAGGGAAAGTTGGCCACACACAAGTCCTGAACCGTCTTCTTCGTGTGAGCGGGAGGCAATTAAAAACGACGCAAGCACCAGACCGTGGCCCAGCAATTCGAAGCTCTCGGCTACTCGGTCATCCTCGACGCCTTCGTGGTCGGCCCGCTCGGTGGTTGGGACATTGACAACGACATCTTCCTCAAGAAGCTCGGTGTCTCCTTCCGCTACGCACGTCTCATGAAGAAGCTGATGGTGTCGGATGCCGTGAAATGGAGCCGGGACATCTACACTGGTCGCCATCACCCGCCGACACAATGTCAAAGCCCTCAAGCCGCCAGTCCGACTCAACCAGCGCACAAGCGAAGTCCGACTCAACCAGCGCGTGCCCAACGTCGTTGAGAATCTCCGTCCCGACATCTTGATCGTTGACCCAGCCCTCAAGACGGTGAAACTCATCGACGTCACCATGCCATTCGAGAACCGACCCGAAGCGTTCCAAGTCGCCCGCCAAGAATAAAGAAGATAGAACGTAACACAACAAAAAAGGGGGCAAAAGAAAATAAGAAAGCTGTTTGGAAAACGGTCTTTGAACTCTTGTTGCAATAATTATGACGCACCCTGTATTGTCACTCGTTATTTCAGTGAATAACCCAAAGAACTATGGCCGAATGAAAGCTTACAGTCGATCGAAATTGGCGAATGTGAGAGACGAATGAGAGAAAGTTTAAGATCAGATTCAATGTCTAACTTTTAGATAATGCATTCTCGAGAGTTATCCACACGTTATCCAAAAATTAAATCTTCATCTTGCCATCCCGGCAACATCAACAGCAATATTCTCTCGACAAGTGGATGGATATTTCTCAAGGTTTTTTTTTAAATATTTTCTTGAAAACATTAATCCCAAGATGATAATTTGTTGAGAAATTCCCAAAAAATTACGCTTAATTTAAACATTTCTGCTTTGTAGCGATCAAAAATTAAAGAAAAAGTTGGGAAATCAAATTGTTATAGGCTTAAATCCGATGGTTAGGATTAGTAAGAGTCTAATTACAGTAATCCTTGCAGTAGATCTTGTACAGTACTCTCAGTATACCTTCTATAGCCGATACCTTCTACAGTACCCGGCATCGGTGGATAGATCTTTGCCGGGCATCGACCGGTAGATCTTTGCCGGGTACTTTAGTTACAGTCCTTCACTCCTTCACCCAGGCAATCCAGGCAACAATTAAACCAATTCCAATTGGTTGATTCAATAAAATGAATAGCACCAATTGATTCTCTGACCCGGAAAACCTCCGGGTACAAATTTACAGCAAAATATCTTTAATTTCTACCATCGACAAAGCAAAAGAGAAATCTATGTTGGTGTTCTTTGGGTGCGCTTAGAATCGCTCGCCATCTGGCAAATCGTCCTGGTACAAGGGGCTTCCCTTTTCGAATCCCTTTTCGAATCCCTTTTCCGAATCCCTTTTCCGAATCCCTTTTCCGAATCCCTTTTCCGAATCCCTTTTCCGAATCCCTTTTCCGAATCCCTTTTCCGAATCCCTTTTCGAATCCCTTTTCGAATCCCTTTTCGAATCCCTTTTCGAATCCGCCATCCGCCAATACTTGACTTTGTACCTGATTTCACATTACTTCATTATAAAATCATAATCATTCTCCAGGATATCTTCGCTCCAATCTTTTGGTTTTGCTTCAAGACTGAAATGGATGGAGCACAAACACCGCTTCATCTTGCACTCAGTCAACACCTCAAAGGAAACGGATTATATTATAGGTGACCTATGGAAATTAGATCCAAAAACCTCGACTTGAGCCACTGAAAATCATTGTAAACTTATAAAAACCGATTTTTACAGTGTTTCTCCTAGAGAAAACGATTTAAACTCTAAATTTTATATTCTCACACCAATAAAAAACCAAGTTTTGTCTCAAGAATCCAAATTTTCACATGATTCTTTTGTTTCAGTGATTGTGTTGTTGTGGAAGAGAGTGAAAAGGCACGTTTCGATGGAGATTGTGTCAAATTATATGAACAGAGTCGACAAGTTGTACACAAATGGTTATGAGAATGATCAGCCGCATTTCGTTCTAGTTTATGGTTCAAGTGTACTCACTTTTTTGTTGATGACTTTTGATAGCTTTAGTCTACGGTAACAACACAGCTTTTGAGCACGGGTAATTATTTTGCGTTGATAAAAGTTGAATAAAAAGTTTGCTCATATAAAAATTACAGAAAACTTGGGTAATTGAACCGAAAAAACGGCTTTCTGGCTACTAGCATCCGGGGCAGTAGGCCAGAAGCCAATTTTTCCTATAAGTGACACGAGCGGTACGCACACTTGGGTAATTAAACCGGCCTGGACGGTTTTCCGATTGAGCCTACCGATTGGACCGTGTGCCAGAAGCCAATTTTTCCTATAAGTGACACGAGCGGTACGCACACTTGGGTGATGAAAACGGGTTGAACGGTTTCCGCTCGGGCCTATCCGGGACCGTGTGCCAGAAGCCACTTTTTCTTACGAGAGACACGAAAGGTACGCACACTTGGGTAATTAGACCGGCCTGGACGGTTTTCAGCTTGGGCCTTTCCGGGACTGTGTGCCAGAAGCCACTTTTTCCTATAAGTGACACGAGCGGTACGCACACTTGGGTAATTAAACCGGCTTGAACGGTTTTCCGATTGGGCCTATCCGGTACCGTGTGCCAGAACCCAATTTTTCCTACAAGTGACCCGATAGATACGCACACTTGTGTAATGAAATTGGCTTTAGCGTTTTTCCGATGATCTCTATTCAGAGCAGTATGCCAGATGCCGCTTTTTCCTATCAGCAACATGAAGGGTACACACAACGAAAAGCTTTAGCTTAATTGTTGATTTCATAATTAATAGAAATAGACCCTGAAGTTGAATGTAAAATTCAATTTCAGGGTCTATTTCTATGATTAATTATCAATTTCTGTGCTACTGAGTATTCTGCAGTGAAGCTCTCTTGGGAGATCCGATTTTTGATTCATTAAATTTTTACATTCTTTCTTTCAACAAAACGAGCTGAATTTTCATCTATAAAACTATCTTTTTAAAGGCTATAAGTCTATAAATCTATAAATGTATCTATCTTTTTAAAAGCTTTACTTGAAGTTTTATCAAAATTTTCAAGGTTCACTAAAAATTTGTAGCGTTCAATGCTTAAAAATCACCACTTTCCCACGATTCGTTTAAGTCGAAAAATCTCGTTTTTTTTTTAGCTAATTTTTTGTGTTTCTAATTTTGAACTATCAAAATATTCATTTCAGTCTATGGAACTATTTATTCCGTTAATTTATTTATTTATTGCAATTATTTTTGTTTGCATTGGTGTTTACGGGAATTTGAATGTGATTTGGGCGAGTATACGGAAAAAGGAATTACGGGGAAAACATGGTTTGTTTGTATCTCTTGATTCGATGGAACATTGCTCTGCTACTCTTTTCTGTACCAGTTTCATTCAGAATCTAGTCATCACATTGTTTAGTATCAAATTCTGGATCTAGCTGTTGTTAGTGTCAGTATTGTGGGGTCTAATGGAATCAGATATGAGTCTAATGCCAGATCTGATACAGTAAATACTTGGCGTAAACTGTAAATGTTAAATCTATAAACGATCTCTGTTCATTCATCAATTTAGGTGTTCTCTTACAAATCTTTGTTTCATTTCACACAATTTGCCTTTTATTCGAATTGATCTTTACGAGTCTGAACGTTATAAATCGTGCCTATGGATGGACACAGGTAATATATATATATACTTTATTCAGTTGAATAGCGCCAAAACAAAATCACAATAATTACCCGGGACACCATTCAAAACACACCGAAAAGATAAATAGATACCTCAAGAAAGAATCACAGAGCAGTCAAATCAATTGCCGAAATTGCGGCTTTAAATCTAGCCAAGGTGGGAATATCATGATCAAGCTAATTATTCTCTAGTTGGTTGCGATTCAGGAAGGATTTCTCAAGCGTCACCGATCTCTCCCTTTCGAATGCATTATTCACTCACGTACTCAATCCCGTTCATCTACTCCTTCTTTTTACTCTAAGGAATATTCTATTGAAATCCTCTGAACCATAGTTGCTCATCATCTTTGAGACCGGATATCTTATAAGCTACCTTTTTCAACTAACTAGATCAACCAACTAGAGATCAACTAGAGATCAACCAACTAGAGATCAACCAGCTAGAGATCAACTAGAGATCAACCAACTAGAGATCAACCAACTAGAGATCAACCAGCTAGAGATCAACTAGAGATCAACCAACTAGAGATCAACCAACTATCAACCAACTAGAGAATAATGAGCGTGGGGGTAAAATGTTCCAGAATTTAATAACTCGATTAAAAAAGAAACTGTGGGGGCTTTTAGAGGAAACGGAAGATTTAGAGGAAGCGCTTTTAGAGGAAGCGTATAAGAAAAGGCCTTCTGGAGTAGTAATCAAAGTAACATTATTCTGGAGGCGCCCCGTAGAGAGCCGAATTCAAAGAGACCAGAAAAAAGGGGGTCGGGATGAATGCCTTTAACAATTTTAAAGCATTCCACTAAATCGATGATAAGGCGGCGTTGGTGTAACATTTCAACAAAAGAAAAAGATTAAAGTTTTCTTTGCTGAATATCATTTACCAACTGTTTAGCTGTCATTTATCGGGGGGTAGTTAAAACAGCGCCATAGAAAACGTTCAAAATAGCGCCTTCAGATTTCTAACAATCCAAAAAACCAAGCCAATTCAAGTTTTATACCAAAAAATTCCTTGCGTTCTTGGCTACATGATGGGTGAAACAGTTTTTAAAAAAGTTAATATTTATAGATAAAAAGAGCGCTGAAAATGGGACTCTAAAGATATTCAGTTAACCAACTGAGTATCACCCGACACACATTTTGAGTGCTCTTTTTATCTATGAAATATTAACTTTTTTTAAAAACTGTTTCACTCATCATGTAGCCAAGAACGCAAGGAATTTTTTGGTATAAAACTTGAACCGGCTTGATTTTCTGGATTTTGAGAAATTTGACGGCGCTGTATGGAACGTTTTCCATTATGGCGCTGTCGCCTCACACTTCCAGGACCCAGCCCAAGTAGGTTTCCATTGATAGACCTGGGGTTCCGACCGCCAGTGCCTTCTTTTCGTGATCGCGTCAAATCGGGAACTAATATCAAGATCCAATCCACGTATTGCTGGCGAATGTAGATGAATGGGGTATTCCATGAAACGTCGGCTGATTGAAGAAATTTCGTCGTGTCGGAATTTCGTCGAAATTTCGTCGCGGGGAACGTTGGCATCTTGTTCAGCTCGTTCATCACGTGTTTCTTTGAAGAATTCCATGTGTTCTTCGTATTCACGACGAGCCCAATATTCCTCAAATCTATCGAGGGATTTCCCATCGAGATCTACTCCCATCGAGATCTACTCCCATCGAGATGGTTTTGCACCGCACTGTATATCTGAAAAAATAAAATTAGTAAGGAAACAAGGAAAATTTAAAATCGACAAATTTATGGGATAAAATTAAAAATACAAATGATTTTCGAAAATAGATGAAGATTTTTCGCTTTAAAAGCGTTGTTTGTAATGACGCGTTGGGTCGGGGGTGCTTTTTAGAGGGGTGGGGTTCAATTTTAATATTTACGGTACGTTAATTTCCTTTACAAATCCAAATTTCTCGTGCGCACGGACAGACAGACGGACAGACACTTCTCTTTATTTAGATATTTACAGTTAAGCTTCAGAATCCAAGCAACCAACTTCAAAATCCAAGCAATTCAGTTAAACTGTGCCAAAGCCATGTCAGTCTACATGTTTGCCTTATCGGCTCAAGATCTGCTTGCTTTGATTATTGTTGCCGATTTGCTGGTCGCTATTTCATTGCCTATCAAGTTCGTTTTCTAGCTCTTTAGGCAAAAATGTAAGCACACCTTCTCTGATGTACTCTCAAATTCAAAGGTGTGCCAGAAAGTGTATGCCATTTTTGAACGCAAAAATTCACTTCAAACAAACTACGTGTGGCGAATAGCCACTAAAAACTTACCTAACTCTGGCAGCCTAAAAATTGGAGAAATATTGAGGAAATCGGTGCGCTTTCATTCTATTTCGCGCCCCAAATCATTTATTGTTTTGTAGCTTGTTAGCTGAGTATCTTGGGTTAAAGCCTATATAACGCAACTGTTGTTCATTTGGCTCGGTTTTCTTTCATTTTCTTTCTGCTTTCCTCTCATTGTGTGAAAGTTGTGTCCTAACGAAATTGTTTCTGTTTTTTATCGTCGCTTTTAATTCAATTAAATTGAAACGGGGCGTCTAAAGTTGGTCGACCAACTCGACCTCGACTTCGACCCCTCGACCAACTTTAAACGCCTCGTTCTCAGCCCTATTTAGAGAGATTTTTATGTTTAATATACCAAAAGATAGCCCTTAATGTCTTCTATCTTTTGGTATATAAACATAAAAATAAAGGGCCCAAAACCTCAAGTGAGAGCCCAAAGATTTCGAGTCAGTCGGCTATTGAATAAAGTGTTTTTAGTTCAAGTGAGATCAGATATCTCGAAACAAGAAATAACGTGTCTTGAGTGAAGAGTACCAAGCACGCGAACAATATTTCTTTACACTCCGCAACAAACCATTTTCAGACATCGTATCTGGTCGTTATCCATTTACATTCCCCTTGTCACCACTCCCGCTTTCATCTTTGGTATCACATTTGTTGCTTTATCCAATGCGTATGCTGATCCGTGAGTGCACCAAAATTTATCGAAATATCACTTTTAGAAATCTAATCTTACCCGCCTGCAATCCTTTACTTTCAATGAACACTTTCATTGCCGATATTTGGCTTTTATGCAATTTTGGGATCAATGCTGTCATTCTTTTGCTGTACGCTGTGATTAGTGCGCTGATTCGAGTGAAGGGTTTGTAAAAAATGGCTTTCAGAAGTAAAACAAGATTATTTTATTGAGTCAATGCATATGAAATGGCTAAATTTTTCCAAAGGGCGGCTGTTGACGGTCTTTGATTGTAAGCCTTAAGCGCTATGGAGTTTTTTACACCAAAGCACTCCTATTGCTACACAAATTATTTGCCTCATTTTCCACAATTTTAGGATCTGAAAGGTTCCAATACGGTTCCAATACGGTTCCTATTTTAGGTTCCAACACGGTTCCAATACGGTTCCTATTTTAGGTTCCAATACGGTTCCTATTCTAGGTTCCAATACGGTTCCTATTTTGATCTGAAAGGTTCCAATACGGTTCCTATTTTAGGTTCCAATACAGTTCCAATATCTTTATTGATTATTCTTTCAATCGAGAATTTACCACCCGATCATGTTCGACATGTACCTTTGTATGAGTTCCTTCAGAAGCACACATCAAACCTATGTCATGCCAATATTCGGGTTGTATATGGGGATGAGTCTATTAGCGAATACACATGTCCAATGGTTCACAAAGTTTCCATCTGGCGATTATTCTCTTGAAGACGAGCAGCATGGCAGACCCGAGATAAAGTTAAAAGATGCTGCTCTTCTGGTACTTCTTCAAAACGACAATCGGCTTATGAATCAGCAGAACACCTAAAGGTTGACGAATCCACGGTAGTCAGACATCTACACGCCCTTGGGTTTATATCGAAATTGGGGAGTTGGATCCTCCATACTCAGAGATTAAACCGGATCTCGATCAGTGCTGCTCATCTTTTACGATACGAGCAATATTCTTTTCTCCCTCGTATTATTATGGGGAATGGGAAGTTGGTGCTTACTGTGAACTTTTGGCAAAACTTTTGGCGAAACTTTTGGCGGAAACGTCAATCGGTGGTACCCGGAGCGACGCCCGAATCAAATCCGAAGAAGGTTGCAGTGCACCAGAAGAAGTTTATGCTATCGGTATTCTGGGATATGGAAGGAGTGGTCTATTGGGAGTTGCTGGATAGTAAGCCAACACTTAACTCTGCTAAATACATTGAGCAGCTCGAAAAACTATCTACAGCTTTGACAAATGGCAAACCAAAAAGACAAAAATCATCCTCCATGATAACGCCCGCCCTGATGTTTCTTCGATGACTCAGGACAAACTGAAGAGCCTTGGTTGGGAAGTGATGACATATCGCCCATATAGCCTTGCCCCAAGTGATTATCATCTATTCCGGTCGATGAGCAACGAGCTGGTTGGGCATCACTTCGATTCCAAAGATGATGTCAAAAAGTGGCTCACGGACTTCTTGCTAGAAAATCGAAGACCTTTTATGAGAAGGGCATCCGAGATTGGATTGATTGGAGATTGGATTGATTGAAGATTGGATTGATTGGAGATTGGATTGATTGGAGATTGGATTGATTGGAGATTGGATTGATTGGAGATTGGATTGATTGTAGATTGGATTGGACCGAGATTGGACTAAATTAGATTGATCTGATGGTTAATCGCAAATAAATGTTTTGTTGAACATTTAGCCATTTCATATGCATTGATCCAAGTGATAACTGTAACTTTTCAGCTGGCCAAGTGGCAAAGAAAGTTGTGACACAAAACGCGTGTGTGATGCGGAAAAAGACCGATGAGCAAAAGGTGAGCAAATAGTATCGAACAAATAGCTAAATCTTGACTTACCTGTTTCAAAAGCAGACAATTCCCTGAAATTCCAGGTCCTCTCTTCTTTATCTCTAATGATCTCCGTTTTTGAACTCTCTTGGTGTTCATTCATCACTTGTCACCTCATCTTGAACTATTCTGGCTTAAAAGCGAACAACGCTGTAGCTGGACCGATTAGGCTATGCTTGGCAAGTGCTATGCTTGGCTATGCTTGGCTATGCTTGGCACGAGAAAATGTTATCAATAAACTTTAGTCAATATTTTCTCTCATTTGCTTCTCTCAATCATATTATGTTTGTCGAATTCGTTCAACTGAATATAGAAAAACTTTTAAAGAGCAACTCAGGTTTTGAATTTTAAATAGACATGGAAAAATCGAGTTTAGAATATTGACATGTCAGAAAAGGAAGAAGAAAGAAAAGAAAAAGCCAAAACGAGTGGAAAAAGAGACGGAGCCGACAACATCGGTGAGGGTGAAAGATTGAGTGCTAAAAAGCTTGAGCTAACAATAAACTAGTCTAAAAGACTAGCTTATTGTTAGCTCGAGATCAAGACAAAGCTTCAAGACAAAACCTGGTCTTGGTCCGGAAGATTTTGATCAGAATAATATCAGAAATATTATCCAGAACCTGTTCACTCTCCATTTTCAGGCTATTCCATCTCGCAATCGAACTGTCTCAATTGGAGTCGCCCCAATCGATTCATCCAATCAATTTGTTCTACCTCAAATTGTTGTCACTTCTTGATTGATAAAGTGTATTTTGGAACAAGCTCTATTTGACATTAAACTTTTAAATGTCAACAACAACTACAAAAAGGAAACAATGCCAAGAATGCCAAGAATGCCACAAGAAACAATGCCAACTACTAAACAGATTTAAAGAATAGAAGTTGTATCCAAAACGAAGCTAAATATGAATCATATCCTACTCTTTTATTATCTATCCAATGCCCAGGGTTCCCTTAATGACTATGTTTTCTGCTTTTCTTTGCCCGGTTTATTTGAGTCTAGTATTTTCAATTGCGCAAATTTCCGTAAGTTTCGACTTTATGCTGGATTTTTACAATGAACAACCGGAAAAACGAGAGGAATGTGTAGGCACTGAAGAATGTTACGGAGGGATTGTGTGCAGTGTATCTTGATTCAGATCTGAGAAAGAGCTGATGTAAAAGAAATGTACCCAACAAAGTACAGTACCCGAAACGGTGCTACGGTGACCAGTATTCAGTACTCGACATGTTTCGATCGATCCGGTCTGGTTCGGTCGGTAGGTCGGTCCCGGTTTTTCGACCGATCGATCGGGGTCCAAGAATGGGATCGGACCGACCAGGCCCGACCGACCGGGTTCGGCTGGTCCGATACTAATCTATTCAGTACTGGTTCTAGTCCAAGCTTTCAGCATAGTACTCAATTAGTACAGCACTTCAATCGTTTCAGCATACCAATTTCAGAAAGTAAACTGTGAGCTTACGGGGAAGATTATTGTTACATAGCATTTCACGAGATTACCCGAATGGTTAACCATTGCCAGTGATTCAAAATTCTGCGAAAATCCGAAAGCAATAAAATGCTGTCAAAAATACTGCGAATACCATTTTCGCGAATGTGTGCGAAACTAAAATCGATTAAATTGAGAATAATTTTCATTTTTGAAAGCCTTCTCACAATTCTTTTTAATTTACCCCCGAAAAAGGACCACATTGTACCGCAATCACAGACTCTTTCAACTGCACTTTCTCATTGAATAAAGAGATTTTAAATCGAAACTTTTTTAAATAGCTAACAAATTTGTATTTTTGCATGGAAAATTAATTACAACACATTAAGACAATATTCAATTACTTAACTGACAAGGGAAGGATGATTGGATCCCGTGGCCTTTTCCGATAATATATAGACCATTCGACGCAGAATTTTACGCTGATTCCAATGATGTAAAAAAAGTAGCTGCGGAGTGGCGCGTAATCACCGCCAAACTGGCATAAAAGTTTTGAGCCTTTCCTTTTAAGCCGATTTTGGGGTAGGCTAATTTTCGCAATTTTTTTTTTGCGCAACTCGCCATAACTTTCTTCTAAGTCGGTCAATCTTTATGATTTTGGTTTCATTTTGTTGCACTTATTGAGATCTACAAAATGAAACCAAAAGCATAAAGGTTGGATGACTTAGAAGAAAGCTATGGCGTCCTTTGCTGGGTCATTTGCGCTAACATAGCTTTCTTCTAAGTCATCCAACCTTTATGCTTTTGGTTTCATTTTATAGATCTCAATAAGTGCAACAAAATGAAATCAAAATCTTAAAGATTGACCGACTTAGAAGAAAGTTATGGCGAGATGCGCAAAAAAAAAAATTAACCTACCCGCCGATTTTCTTCAATGTTAGTATTTTTGTTTTATGGTGCATAAACTATATAAATGGGTCGCTCCTGCAACAAATTCCTTTATTCATTCATTAGTTTCTTGATTTGTTGCCGTCTAGAGTTTCTTTTTTGCTCTAAACTAAACCCTAGAAATGTTTTACCACTTTTCACATATCTTACCCCGTAAAGAACATTTCTGTACCCCGACCAGTCCATAATCGATTACCTCACGAAAACCTCGGCACTTTGCAATTTTATTTTTTTTTGCTTTCCGTTCTCCGAAATTTTATTGAATCGAATTTTATCTTTAACTTTAGATACTTAAGCTTCTACTCGTCAGCCAAATGAAGGAGAAGAAGCTGAAGAAAGCGAAGAAAACAAAAGTGGGAGTGGTTGGTTTTAAAAAAGTTATTGAAATAGGGTTAATTTTGCAAATCGAAACTAATCTTTTTGTTTTAGAAAGATGAATCCACCGAAGCTGCTCCCAAATACACACCCGGAGCTTTGAGTGCACTTTTTGGACTTGGACCGAGTAGTGTTGAGGTGGTTTTATTACTTTTTGCTTGTTCAATTCTATTTTAGGCAGCAGTTCCCGATGAAGAACAACCTTGGAATTCGACTCCCACCGGGATACTGACGTCGAGAAAGGTTAGCTTTTTAAAGATCTTTTTAAGCTGACTTAGGTCATAAGGGGAATTTTAAAGCTGCATACGATTAATTCAAAGCAAGTTACATTAGTTGAATGATATTTGTCTTCACTTTTTTCTATTTTCCTAATAAACAATTTTAATTGCTTATTAGGAAGGAGCTAAAGGGATTTATAAGATATCGTTATCTTAAGAAGAACTATATTATCAATTTTAGAAGCTACAAGAAGCAGTAAAAGCTGAAGTTAAAGAAGAAGAAGAAAAGCAAGATGAAGCAATGGATGAAGAAACAAAAGGAGATGAAGAAAAGCTATCGGCTAAAGAATCGAGAAAAACTCAAAGGTATTTGTTAATGATTTTTTTAGTTATCTACGTATCTACATATGTTCTTTGATGGTCATAAATTATGTAAACAAAACAGATTTACTTTGGTCATTTTTAGGGACAATCGAAAGAAAAAGACGATGACAGAAGATGACAAGGAACGAACAATTTTTGTTGGAAACGTCGAAAAGACTGTAACGGAGAAAACGATAAAGCAACATTTTGCAAAGTATTTTTGCTTAGTAACGTTGACATTAATCATTTTAGGTATGGTCCGATTGAATCAGTTCGTTTAAGAGGAGTAATACCAGCAAAGGGAAATTTGTCCAAAAAGGTACGTTTTATCCGAGCTTTTGTATTGTAACTTGTTTTTAGACGGCCAAGCTTGCAAATAAAATGTCTGATCATCAAAAGACGGTGAATTTCTACGTGAAGTTTACGGAGACAAAGTCAGTTGATGACGCGTTGGAAGAGTAAGGCTTTTGAATATTTTTGTTTATCGTTTTAATAAAAAGATAAAGAAAGTGTTCCCAGAGATCTCACAGTTATTTTTTTTTACAGAAATGGTACTGAACAGTGGGGGCATCGTCTACGTGTCGATCGTTGCACGAAGAAAGGAGATCTTGAGTCAAAACAATCGATCTTTATTGGAAATTTGCCTTTTGACACAACAGAAGATGCTTTGGTTTGCGTTTTTAAATAATAATCGAGGACATAAGTTGTCTGAGTTTAATTTTTACTTAAAATTTAATTTAAGGCTACTCGCATGGAAACGATGATCGGACCGGTTGAAGCCGTCCGCATTGTGAGAGATCCGAATACTGGACAAGGCAAAGGATTTGCATTTGTGGCTTTTAAGGTAAGTTAAAGTACTGTTATGCTAGCAAGTGTGATTGCTTACTTTAAACAACATAAAAATCCACTAAATGCAATACGTTTAGGAGTTGGCATCAGTTGCTTTGGCGTTATCGATGCCGTCGATCAAATTCAGGAAACGAGAATTACGAGTGACGAAGGTGCAAAAAAAGAAGAACCTGCGAAAGATGGAACAAAAAAAGAAGGTGAAGAATTAGAACTTTGATATAGCAAATCGAGCTGTCGATTTTGTTCATTCGTTTTAAGTTTTACAAATTCTAGAGACTGATTTTACCATATTTTATTGTTTCAATTTTTTCTTTAGACTCACGGCCTTTCCAGAAGCTTCAAAAAGCCACTACCCAATCCAAGCAAGAAGTTCCAAGGAAACAGAAAAGGCGGAAACCCAAAAACCATCATGAATTGAGAGTTGTTGATTTTTATGTTATTAGAATTTTTGTTGTTTTTGTTGTTATGAAAAATAAATCGTTTTCCCGGTTTAGTCGATCCTGCTATCACAGCGGAGTTGATCAAGTTTCACAACGGAGAAAAGGACGAAAGATCCGCATACAGAGGTAAAAACGTCAGCTAGAAACCAAATTTGCACTAAAACACAAAATTTGCATTTAATTTTTGGTGGCTTAATGTTTTGATGGCCTTGAAAAAAAAATTCATTTTCATTCGCTCCATCGTCTGGGTTTCTCTTTTTCTTCGTCGTTAAAAGGTTTGCTTATATTTTTGTTTTGATGTTGATGTCCTAGCGAATATCCATTTATTTATGTTCAGAGATATCACTAGATGTCAATATCGAAGAAATCAACGCCGCTAACAAGAACACCTATTGAAACAGCACCGACCACGGCAACTCCAACGGCTTTAAAAGCGACTTTGTCGAAAGAGCATGCGGATGATGCGCCGGAGAATGATGAGGAAAACGATATGAAAACTGGTGAGCGATCTTTTGATTATTGTTAACTGAATAAAGTATTGATTAGCTTGGGATTTTACTTTTACTTTTCAGATGAGTTGACGGATATTGAAGTTCATTATGACGAGGAGACCACCGAGCGGAAAACTGAGGTTATTCGTGTTTTCCCTTGGCTTTGACTCAATTTTAGGCTACACTCAGCGTATTTCAACAACAGCTCCCAACAGCATGCTTTTGGGATACGTACATGCAGAGTATTATTGTCAAAATGGTTAGCTTTTTCTAATTTTTATTGAAAACAGTATTTTTAGGGGTTCTTCAACAACTTTGACACTATCGGCGCTATGTCTTTTCTCTTTATGCGATACGGACGTGAGTAATGTAAATTTGTTTGTAACTTGACTTATTTTAGCAGCAATTGTGACACCGCTGCTTGTTATGACACTTGTCTTGGGCTTGCCGGCTGTGATGTTGGAGTTGTGGCTTGGGCAATTCACATCGCTCGATCCAACGTTTCTCTATGAACGAATGGTACCAGCATTTGGGGGTGAGTAGTGATTGTTCTTATATTTTAAAGTCGCTATATTGAATGGGCATTTGAATGAGCACTTTTTGTTGACGAAGACAAACTGAATCTTTCAGGTATTGGCTACATGGTGCTTCTTGTGAATACCGCAACGCTTTGTCTCCAATTACGACGAGCTGTTGTATATATCTGTGGGTGTACATTCTATTTCACTAATGTCTCTTTTCAGCACTTTTCTTTGAGGCGATCAGTCCGGGAAGTACACAGAATTTGTATCAAAGTTGCCACATGGATTTTAACAGCCAACGTGGGTTACTTGTTTTTAGGATAAGCGATGAGTTTAATCTTAGGCCTTAAGTTCACTAGGTCGTTAAAACTTTAACTTTTTTAGAATGCACGACAGCGTTCAGAGATTGTCCTATTGAAAGACCGATTTTGGTGGAAAACATCTGTACATCAAACATAACTTACAAAGCTAACTGGGTTCAAGAGCTAAGGTTTAGTTTGCTTTGATTATTTTTTAATGAATTATTTAGAAACGAGTCCGATTTTCAAATGCCCTTCTCTTTTCCGTTGTATCAATTCATGTACGTATTGTTCTTTTCTTTAGGCTTACAATTAGATATGAATGCCGATTTTTTAAAAATGCTTCTTTAATCACGCTTTTTAGGTTTCGTAATGTGTTGGGAGAAGAAGAAGGCATGGAGGTGGACGCGAAACAAATAAGTGGCATAACGAGTTATTGCTTTGTCTGGATTCTTGTCTTGTTCATAATGGCGAAGGGAGGCACACGACTTGTGAAATGGGTTTGTTATCAACTAATTAATTAACGCTATTAAAGATCAATGACTCATTTAATTTTAGGTAGCCATCATCGCAAGTGTGACTCAAATTGCGTTCAGCTTGGCTGCGACAATCGTGAATGAATTTTTGATGCAACCTATGTGGTACAACAACACAGAGGTTGCTCTTTATGTTAGCAGCTAAAATAGTTAAAGACATAATCCCAATCGTTTCTATTGACTTATCATTTATTTTAGATAGCATCACTCGACTCGAATTCAACTATGGACACAATTTTTGTGTCTGATTTCGGACAAATGTGGATTGATGCCAGTTTGCATGTAGTCTTTGATTTTTCTGATTGCAATTAATCTTTGGTGTAGATCTTACTTACATTGGGGTTGGGCGACGGTGCAATGGTTGCGTTTGGTGCAAATCATAAATTCAATTCCTTCATATTAGGGTAAGTCGGTAAATCTTTTAAAAACGGTCAAATAAGCTCATTTTTAGAAATGCTTTGACGGCAATTCTTGCTTGGGGTGCCTTTAGTATTTTCTTCTCTTGGAGTTTTGCACGGGCCGCAATGTATGTTTTTTCATTTGTATAATTGGTTAATTTTGGTTCTAGAAAAACAATATATGAATCTGTTGTGCAAAGTGCTAGCTATACACCTGGTCACAGCAAATTCATCAATGCATGTAAGATATTGAGGGAGTTTTTCAATTCAAGCCTCTGTCTAGATAATGCTTCTGTCACGAATATTCCACGACCGGCTGCTTTTTTCATAGTCATTTTGCGGACACAAGTGTCTAATGTAAGCGTTATTGAGGATTTCCTCCTTTATTTGTTTTTTAGGAATACATGGATGGCCTTCTAACTCTATTTACTGTCAGCGACTTTTTCTTGGTGATGTTGAATGTGGTGAGATTGTCTTGTCACTTGTTACAAGTTGCACGAATTATTTAGATGATTCGATTGAAGATCATAATGGGTGCTTTGTCGGAGCGGCTCATTGGCTTAAGGCGGCTTGTGCAAAAGGTTTTAAAAAATTTGAATTCTCTTTATTTGTTTTGATTTGATTTAGACTCGTTTCTGCATAGTTGGTTGCGCGTGCTTTGGCTTAATGTTCATTTTAATGCATCGAGTAAGTTTAAATTTGAACTTGCGCATAAGTTTTTCAGTATTCCCTTATCTGGGAAGCCTACTTCATCGAGTTCTCGTTGGTTTTGCTCAGTGTGGTTGTGCTCATAGGAGAGGTGAGAATTGACACGTAAAAATAAATTCAAACATTATTTTTAGGTTTTAATTTGCTATACATACGGTGTTCGTCGAATTTTCTCGAATATGTGCGCAACTCAAATCACTTGGGGACTAGTGAGCTTTGGCAACATTTTAATAAGCTGATTTATTTTAGGTAGCAAGATATGATCGACTAATTTCCATACTGGAATACATTAACATTCTCACAATTGGTCGGTTTGATCTATTCTCATTCTTCTTATTTAAACTCGTTTAAGCTTCTTGGATTATCTTACCACCATCCCTGTTGACGTTGGGCATCATGCACACCGTGAAAAAGCCAAACTTTCCGGATAAGGAACTCTGGGTAAGTTTTTTTGAGCTATACCTATTGCAGCAATGCTCATTTTCAGAAAGCAAAACTGGTAACAGCCGCATTTTGTTTACCCCCAGTAGTGGTCTTCATAACAAGCGTATGTGTGTAAATTTTTAACAGGATAAATTATAATTTGAGCTCTGGAAAACGCGGAAAATGAAGTGGACATTCCAATTTAAACCAGATCGAATCATGTGGAGGCCGAGAACATTTGAGAACAAGTCTGTTTTGGGTGACAAACCAATTTTGATTATTTTCTAGGGAGCTGGTAAAACATGTCGAGAAGGAGTATCGCAACCACTCGTGAGAAATCGAGATCAAAAAATTCATTGTCTTGAACATATTTTTTTTAAAAATCGGGAATTCATTGGTGATAAAAATTTATATGATGGTTGTATGTTCTCAAATGCACTTTCATTCAGTAATTTTACTGTTTGTCCCCGCAAACCAAAATTTTTTTTTTGGGTGTCCTTTCGTCTCTTGTAACGTTGAAGGGAAGGGATTTTATAGATATTTCCCACTTTGCAATGTGTTGTTTTGTTTGTGGTAATTTATCAACAACCAAAACTAGAAACGGTAAGTATATTCTAATAGGGAAAATGAGGGAATTCAAAAGACTTGATTGAAGCTTTTACTGCACCCCAAGTGCCATCAAAATTTTTGATTTATAGTCTTGGTTCAAAAAAGAATGGAGCAGACCTTTTGACGCGCATTAGCTTCGGACTTTTCGACTAAACTGTGGAATCCAGGACAAGATATTTTTTTGTTGCTAAATTGTTGTTGACAAACTACCGCAAACATAAAACAACACATTGCCAAGTAGGAAATCTCTAAAACGGTCAAAAGTCTCCCCAACGTTACAAGAGCCATCCTTTCATACATCACTTACTCAAAAAGCTTTGAACTTTCAGACTAAATTTTGGTCAGTATTTATTCAAAAAAATTCAAAAACAATCATTTGAGTATGTGAATAATTGCCTTGGGCAGTATAGAGAATCAACAACAATCAATAAATGAGAGAAAAACTAAGCGAAAGAAACAATGACCTGGCATGAACTGTTTAAAAATTAGGAAATAACAAGTTGAGAAATCTATTTCAATTTTGGTTTTATGGCGCCTTAGGTGTGGCCTTGTTCTAAAGATTAGTGATAATATGAAGGAATAAAAATCAAACCCTTGGTGGAAAGGCGTGTCCTGGATAGAAACGGGCCAGTTTGACATCAGTCGCTTGATCTTGAGCATCAAAGAGTCCCTCACGATAAATCTGAAAAAAGAAATTGATTTATTGGTTATTCTAATTGCTATGTAGATGATCGCTATCTATATAGATAATATCACCGACTGAAATCCTTACTTGATCTAACATTTTTTCGGAAAAACCTTGCGATGCCTCATCCCGATTGATTCCAAGCCAACGGCTAATCTGTTGCATATCACCTCCCTGAAAATAAAATTATATCATATCTACAATAAAACTTTGGATTAAAGCGAACCTGCAAATATTGCCCGAATTGCTCAGTTATCTCTTTGAAACACCAAGACATGGCAAAGTATGAAGCAATCTAAATAAGGGACATTTCAGTTTTTAGCTAAACCAAACCTTAAACATTTCTGAGCATTCCTCGGCCCGGAGCGTTCCATTTGGAGTGAAATGATCTGTTTCGCGTTTAGCCACCAAAAACTCGAGAAACTAAACATGCAAATGTTTTAGCGATTTCTGAGACTACTTCAACTTCATCAAAGGACAAAACCAACCGTCACAAGTGCTGGTGTAGCGAATGGGACGTCAAATGTCGTTAGATGGTCAGTAGATCTAAAAATAACATGTTAAGAGAGTTCTTAAATATTTAAAAACTTACTTGAACAGCAAAGGTTTTGTAGAGCCAGACTCATTGTGGCATTTTTCTTAAAATCTCAAATTTTTAATAGAATGGAAAGCAAAACCTTCAAGAAGTCGCTCGATCGTTTCCGAGCCATGCAATAGCTCTCGGTCTACGTAGATTGCCTGCCCATTTGTTGAGCTAAATGGAAAGAAATTATTGTGTGTCAACTTCTGATTCATTTAAAACTCCAGTCACCATTTGGAACAATTGTCAGACCCTTAAACAAATAGCTTTCACAAAAATACTTCATTTGAAGCCACTCCTGGGTGAGATCTTTCATTCGTCGCGTGAATGCCCCGGTGCAGCCGTCCACTTTCTTGAACCACCATTGCTTATCTGAAAAAAACCCGTATTATTGGTCTCAAGTTCTGTACTATGCGATAAATCTTGCGCAGCTCGATTTACAATCAAACAACTTGAAAAGCGACGTAAACTTCGTGGAAAGTGATGTAAACTTGCAAAAACCAACCTTTCTTTTGGCCGCTATATGAATTGGTGCGTCCCAGCCCGTGAGAGCTCATTCGCCTGGCCTCTAAAATAAACAAATTAAAGAAAAGCACAAATTCTTAAACATAGAGAACATGAATCGAACGCGATAAACCTAATCTTCAGACCAAAGCCAGGTGTTTAGAACTTTAATGGACTTTTGACCCAATTTAAAGCTCCAACAGGCTTTCAGGTTTAGTTTTACATAAATTTACGGGGTAGGCTAGTTTCCACGACTTTTTTTTGCGCAACAGGGTTATTTGCGCAACTCACCATAACTTTAACTTTCTTCTAAGTCGGTCAATCTTTATGCTTTTGGTTTCATTTTGTAGAACTCAATAAGTGCAACAAAATAACACCAAAAGCATAAAGATTGACCGACTTAGAAGAAAGTTATGGTGAGTTGCGCAAATGACCCTGTTACGCCAAAAAAATTGCGGAAACTAGCCTACCCCAAATTTACGCTAATAATTCACGCTTGATCATTTGTGAAAATGAGAAAAGAATAAAAAGTGAAGTTTGTTTCTTTTTAATATTTGTAAAGCTTGCTTTAGCTACGGTGGCTTCGGGTCAGTTTTTAGAATGACCGTTTTCTTTCATTTCCGCTTGTTTTTATCATTGTTTTACCTTTTTTTATTTAAAAAAAGTTATTTATTCAAAGAAAAACGATTTGATGGCGCTTAAGCAGCAAAATTTGACAGTATATAACTTTAGAAGTTAACTTTAGAAGAAACAACTTTAAAAACATATTTAAAAGAATGAAAGATACAGTAAACTTAGTTGAATCGATTATGGCACGTTTAAATGAGAATATTAAAAGATTAAAAGATGAAAACAAGTTAATATGTTTCATTTATGGTTTATTTCATTTCATCGACGACAAATTGTTGTGCTTGAGTGGGGAAATGAACGGAGAAAGCCTCCCAAACGGATGAGGGATTCTTTGGTGGCTTGGAAAGCTGAAATAAAGGCATTTTTACCGCAATTCAACACTTCAGCCTGGCTTAAAGCCTGAATACGATAGCTTTTCTTTAGGTGCATCTTTTAAAAACTGCTTTAGTTCGAATATACACTTGATCTCTAACCAACCAAGAAATGATGCACATATAATGGCTTGATTGTCGACTCTGAGAACTCGTCACGGTTGAAAGTATGCTGAAAATTGGCTTTTGATTGATAGCAGATGAGCAGCTTACATTTTGTTGATTGATTGGCTCCAAGACAAACGGTCCAGCACAGAAATGATCCTTGATACAGAGCTGAAATTGAAATGATGACTTTTTAAGCCTTTTTAAGCCAATTTTGTAGTCTATTTCTATTCTGTTTGGGCTTAAGTATGGAAACACACCCTTTCTTATGCACTAAATACGTCACTCTTCTGCTATTGATAACTCAAGTGCACCAGAAAGAGTGTGTTTACATCCATGAGACCAAGTACACTCTAAAACTGATCTTTATAGCATTGAACTCACCTTGTACAGCATAAAATGCGTTGTTGATGGATTTTCTACTTGATAAGAAGCTGTTGAATCAAGAACGGGAAACTCCTGTGAACTGGGGAGAATCAGTTGATTGATTGCGTTGTAGCAAAGGATTCCAAGAAGTATTCCGAAAAGCTTCTTGAGAAACTCTTTTTTATCACTTTTTTTCGACTTCTAGAATGAATTTTTGCATAATTTTGCATTTATATTTTCCTTGAAACCTTCTCTTCAGTATCATCTTGACTTTCATCATCCGTATAATAAGATTCAAGCATTCGATCCATTTGAGCATCGAGTTGACGCTAAATTTGATTGTTTATGAATTTTTGGTGTACTTTGTGCTCAAAAATATACGCATACCCTTTCTGGCACATAAGACTCTTAACATACAACAATTCGTTTTCGTGAAAAATTCAAGTTTATTGCCTTAGGAGTTTTGCTGTGCGTACCCTCCATGTCGTTTGTAAGAAAAAACGGCTTCTGGCACACTGTTCTTAGGTGGGAGGCGAGAAAGAGGCCTTTCCCTGGTTTATTAACCCCATTGTGCGTACCCTCCATGTCGCTCGCAAGAAAAAACGGCTTCTGGCATACTTGTTTTGGGTGTGAGGCGAGAAAGAGGCCTTCCCCCGGTTTAATTACCCAAGTGTGCGTACCCTCCATGTCATTCGTAAGAAAAAACGGCTTCTGGCACACTGCCCCGATATGAGTCACCAGAAACCGGTTTTTTTCGGTTTAATTACCCAAGTTTTGTTTGGTACTTTGTTTTTCGAAAAAGAATGTATTTAAGATTTAAAATGAAGCTGTAAAAATTTGTAGCAATTTGACTGAAATTTGTTTAGCATTTCCCTTGAATTGGCATTATTTTACAAATATCAAAAACAAATAAAATAAACCAAATTCTTCTCCGGATTGTCACTGTTTTCTTCTTCAGTTCGAGATGGTGAAGAGTTGTCTTTTTTTGAGATTTTCATCTTTGGAGTACGAATTGATTTCTAAAATTGAACTTTGCTTAGAGCTTTGTTTTGAGATTTGAGATTTCAAAAACCTTAGAACGAGTCGATTTTGGAGTTTTCTCATCGACATCTGATGGAGAATTGGAGGATTGCTGAAAAATCGCAAATTTTTGGGAAAAATTACATATTTTTTGACTTTTTTGACTTTTTTCCAAACTTTTTTTAGATTTTGAAAGCTTGATTCACGACACATTTTTTGCGCATTCAAGAATAAAAATCTGATCAGCCAAAAAAAAGTTTTCTCAGAGTCAAAGATCGCTAGTAAAAGGATCTTTACCACCAAAACTAATTTTTGTTGTTATGAGATTGTTATGAGATCGGATAAATGATTTCAACTGATAATACTATTTCTTTAGAGCTCTTGTACTGAATAGTAATATTTAAAAGTTTGAATACCTTTTGATTTGAGAGTTTCAATTTCCTCTCAATATTGTCCACATTTTCCACAACCACTTCGTAATCGGAATTCTCGGAATTCTCAGGTCCAGGTGGGAAAATCATTGCAGCTGAATAAGCTGAATAAATCGAAAATAAGCTTTAATAAAATGAAGACTAGGTTGAAATTTGTAAAATGATTTTTTTGAATAAGATCTGAGCTATTGAACAGATGTCACTTTTTGGAGAGAAATTCATTTCAAACAATTGCCATTGGCAAATCAGAAAATTAATGATAACCAAAGGGGATCAATGGAAAATTCAAATTAGAAAATGAATCAAAAAGATTAATGGAAAAAGTGGCATCTGGCAAATCCGGAAAACCATTCACATTGGTTAATTCACATTGGTAATTGTTTAAATGCCAGGAGAATTGCTTTGTGTTTTGTCTGTTTCTAAAGCAACTATCTTACTAATTAGTACTAATAATTAGTAATTACCCTAAAGTCTCGAGTATAAGTTCATCCGAGTATAAGTTCTGCCTTAATTTACATTCGCTTTAACTGCTTTGAATTTCTTTTTGTTGGGATTTTATACATTTTTATTGTTATATAAACTTTTATTATTGTTCTTGGAGCGCGGGTGACAGCCTACAGGACTACAGGGTGACTACAGGGTGACAGCCTACAGGACTACATGATGACTACAGGGTGACAGCCTACAGGACTACAGGGTGACTACAGGGTGACAGCCTACAGGACTACAGGGTGACTACAGGGTGACAGCCTACAGGACTACATGATGACTACAGGGTGACAGCCTACAGGACTACAGGGTGACTACAGGGTGACAGCCTACAGGACTACATGATGACTACAGGGTGACAGCCTACAGGACTACAGGGTGACTACAGGGTGACAGCCTACAGGACTACATGATGACTACAGGGTGACAGCCTACAGGACTACAGGGTGACTACAGGGTGACAGCCTATCACCATTGCTACCGTATTTCTTCGAATAGAAGACCGGGTAAAGAGTATCATCGCGTACTCCTGCGTAGCAGCCCTTTTTAAAATTTCTTTTTAGCGAAAAGCTTCTTATAGGGCTGAAAAATGGCTCAAAAATACCACATGAGCTAACAGATTTTTGAGCCATTTTCCAGCCCTATAGCACTTCATTGAAAGCTTTTATGCAGAAAAGAAATTTTAAAAAGGGCTGCTACGCAGGAGTACGCGATGATACTCTTTACCCGGTCTTCTATTCGAAGAAATACGGTATTTGTTATGTGCATGGATACATCCAGACGATAGTGTTGAAGAAGACGCTGGAAAGCATCTCTTTCGACCGTCGACGTGGACTTTGGCCGGATGAAGAGGCCAGGGAGGGATCCATAAGACTGAGCACCGGAGAGGAGCAGGGCGGACGCGCCGAGCCACGCCCGGAGCAACAAATAAAAGCATAAAATTCCTATAACCCTCAATAAATTTACTTCTATTATTGTTCTTAAAAAGCAAAAAAGTTATGCTGCAGCGGGGTTCGAACCCTCGACACACCGCACCGGAGACAGCCGTCAATTTGCAAACCAAACAGAACTTATACTCGCGACTTTAGGGTAGTACTAGTTAGTACTGATTAGTACAAGATTTAGATCATAAATTGACAAAACTGAAAAACCTATTGGTGAATTTAAAAGCTATTTAGGTACACAATTCTACTGTAGTGAGGCTAGGATTTGTGCTTTCAGCTTACAGTTAGTCTACAATTTCAGCTTTCTATAGTTAGTCTACAGTTTTAGCTTTCTACAGTTAGCCAAACATCTACAGTTAGTCGATCTTCAGTAGCCATATCTACTAGACATGGGAAAATTCGAACCCAAACCTAATTCCATCTTTGACCTTCATTTTCTCAGCCGTCTCTTCACCGATTCCTCTGAAATTTTGTCTAAAAGCAGAGAAAACCAATTTCTATTTATAAACAAAATTCCAGAACAATCGGTCAAAAGACGGCTGAGAAAATGGAGGTGGAGTTAGGTTTGCCTTGGAATTTTCCCATGTCTAGTGTGTGTGATTCGTCGAAAAGCGGTTTCTGGACTCCGGATGGTCAGAAAGCCACTTTTCCAATTTAATTACTCAAGTTTACTTTATTTTATGAAGATTTTACAAAAGTTGCAAAGATTAAGAATGTTTTTTTTTTGGATAAATCAATTTTTATTCGAAAACTTTAAGAATAAAGAGATTAACAAAGAAAAATCGAAGATTTAAGATAAAAATCAGATTTACTTTACTACAAAATGTACAAAAACTATTAAATTATTTGATTTTTATCTTTTAAAGCTTGAAAAATTTCTTGAAATTCATTTTTATCGGTTGGATGATCATGGAGATTTGTTGAGAAGGGAAATGCTTTGAAAAGCTCTCCCAAATAAATGAATCCGGCAATGGGAAGTCCATCTGAAACATACGATAGATTTTGGTTCAAGAAACGCCTAGAGTTCATTTCTAAACCCATTCAACTTTCTAGGGATGTCTCTGCTAACCAGGGAACCTTCCCAAGTTACCCGCGAGTTACAATATGATGTAGGTAAAAGAAAGGCCTGAAAATGTACGTTCAGAAACTGTTTTCAAAGCTCTACAGATGTTTGGCACGTCTGTAGAGCTGTGGAGGCGTCGGAAGTGGTGGAGAGGCGTGTGGAGGTGGTGGAGGCGGCGGAGAAGCGTGTGGCTGTGGAGGACATGGAAGCGGCGAAGAGGCGTGTGTCAGCATCGGTGTTGGCGGCACGGGCGAGATAAGCTCAGGTACAGACTCACGTGGTGGCACGATTGGTACCTGCGCACGTGGTGGCACAATTGGCGCCTGCGCTGGCTGAGCTGTCTACACTGGCCCGGGGGTTGCTGGCACGGCGCACGTCTTCTGGTGTGCCAAATAATTGACAAGATGAGTTTAAGCGGGGTGTACAGAGCCATTTTTGCACCTACCTCATATTGTAACTCACGGGTAACTTGGGAAGGTTCCCTGGTAAGCAAAATCTTCAGCTAAAGATACTGTAAGTCCAAATGACCAGTCCAAATGAGTCTCGCTCAAGTCTACAACTCTTTAAAATGATGGTAAAAGAGTTAGAATTTGTTTAGCTAAAGGAATTTACAGTAATCTTTAGAGTTTGAGATAATTTTAGTATCAAAATTGAACAAAAACACCGTACTTTCTCTAATAACCGCCCGCCTCCTCTTGACCAACTTTAGATGCCTCGTTCTCAGCTCCATTTTGAGATATTTTTATGTTTCATATATGAAAAGATAGAAGAGATCAAGGGCTATCATTTGGGATATTAAGCATAAAAAGATCTCAAAAGGAGGCTGAGAACGAGGTGTCTAAAGTTGGGGGGAGGTTATGAAGATAAGGTAGAGCTTGCTTTTTGTAAAGTTTTTAGATTTTTCTTCACTCACTAAAAATCCACGAACAGTGATCGGCAAAGCGGCGAATTGGTTCTCTTCACTCAAAGAGAAAACTCGTTTCAGAGAGTACTGTAAATTGTTTAGAAATTTGTTATTGTTGTTATTGTTGTTATTCAATAATGGTTTCATGATTTACCGCATTTTCTCTAATAGTAGTGAGC